TTATTTTTGTCTATAGCACTTTCTCTGGTCACCTGACAATGCCTGCTCTCTGAGCAGGGTGGCTATTTCCACAACACCAAAAAGGACATTTTTCAACATTGAATAAAGACAAAAACTAAAACGTATCAAACTCTTACACAGTATGACTGTTGTACTCACCAAGGACGTGGAGGTCATGAGGGAAAACATTTGTCCGGTGTGTGCACTGCTGCATGGAATGGAGAAGATGACTTTCTTCAGCTTCACCAGTTAGACATCTGCTTTGGAAAACGGCTTCAGACAGCACTCCACGCTCTAATGGTCTTCTATTTCTGGGGAGCAGAGAATAGTTTCCTATTCCTGCTTCTTCTAAAGATGATGATTGTTGCCAACATTTCACAAAGTGGTCCAGCAGGTCTCTGGACTCAATCTCCTGTCCAGCGCCGATCCACCCAAACAATTACTGAGTCACCTGAATATTTCTGCAGATGACTGACTCTGACTGCTGCTGAAAGTTGGAGGTGGTCCGAGTAAAAATAAATTGAAGAACATGATCCTCACAGAGCTGCTGCTTTGTCCAGATGACTGAGGGTTTGTTGAAGCAGGTCTGTGACGGCATCTACAACTCCAACCCCACAGTGATTAGCAAACTGCAGAGAACCATAAAGGCGCCGTTTGCTCATTCAGGTGGACCAGTGCAGTTTCTGGAGGACTTTCATGGTTTGAGATGCTAGGACAATAGGTCTATAGCCATTGGAGACAGTTGGATTAGATGTTTTAGACACTGGAACAGCACAGGAACCTTCTCTTAGGTTAGGTTAAGGTTCTGCAGAATCCCACATAGCTGCTTTGCACAGGCCTTGAGGACTCTAGGGCTGACACCACCTGGACATGCAGAGTTGTTCTGGTTTTTCTCTAACTGCCTTATTACTTGACTGCAAGACACAAACAGACAAGAGGGGGAGGTGAGGGGAGCACCAGCATCTCCTGAAGTGATTTACAGAACAAAGCCGAATGTTTACAAGTGATTAAGGACACTAGGTGAAACCAACAGAGCCAATTGGCTGCTCTCTGGGAGTTCTAGTGTTAAGTACTTGTCCAGCCCAAGACTTTTCTGCATGACATTTTTTATTGTTGAATTGAATAAGTTTTACTTCCTCTTGCACAGACTGAGTTGCTTCTGCTCTGATTGTGATTTTCAGTGTCTAATTTACAGCTTTGTGGATCTGAGCTCCATTTTCTGGAGTTGGAGACATACATCTGGGCAGATAGAGACCTTCAGAGCAGGAGGGGGCAGCAAGGTCAGCTGGAAACAAAACTTAGACAAATAATAATTTTAGTACACTGAAAAATGAAGAATGAAGTGAATGTTCTCAGTCATCAAGGTCATGGTAATCCAAAAAGGGTTCAGTTGAAGGCAACTGGACTTCTGTGGTTTCTTGAAGACGTTTCGCTTCTCATCCGAGGAGCTTTTTCAGTTCTAACTGGAATATGGGAGAGTCAAGTTTAAAAGTTGTAGTTGTCTATTGTTGCTTAACAAGCAGAAACTCACTATGAGTACCCTTCCTCTCTACCTCATGATGAGACTTTAGTCCCTATAGGGAGCCTAAGTCTTCTCCCTTTCTGATTGGCTCATGGGTTTCTGGACGAACGAAAAAATGAATGCAAGTCAACGGAGCTAAAAGAGCTATTTTTTAAATCTGCTTTGCCTTACACCCTGGATCACACATACAGTATGTTGTACTGTAATTAAAGTGAAAACTAATGATGGGTGTTTCAACCATTCCAGTCACATAATTAGAGATTTATTAGCTTGTAAAAGTTTGTAATTAGCATGACTACAACTTACACATTGGCACGTCGCATATGTGACGTCACCGCAGAATCTCCTCTCCCCTAGCTAGGGTTGTCATGGTAACCGGTATAGCGGTAAACCCCGGTAAAAAAGTTGACAATAAAAGTAACCGTCCAGTTTTTAAAAAACTAAATTATCTCGGTGGGTTTACCGTGGCCGCGGTTTCGGCGCGGTGACCCTTACCAGCCACCGTCGCTTCAGCTGAAGTTCCCGCGGCGCGCACACGCACTTTTTAGTTTGCAACGGCACCAAAACTTTGAAGCTGAAATAATCGCCGAAGGAGGAGACGGCAGCGCCCAGGACATCCATCAGCCCTCAAAGAAGACTAAATTGGAAGTATGGGCATATTTGGGATTTCTGAAAAATGCTGAGGGACAGTTAATAGAAGACTGCTATCCCGTTTGCAGAACGTGCAGGAAACAAGTGTCTGCAAAAGGCAGCAACACTTCGAATCTAATGGCACATCTGCGTGACCATCACCCACGTCTCTACAACCAGTGCAAGGTAAGTTAACATTAGCATTTTAGCTTAAATGCATGACGTGAGGACTTCTGGTTGAGGGAGAATGCAACGAGTCACTATAGACTGCAGCCGCAGCGCCCTCTGCCAGCATTTAAACCGTGTCACGGACACCCTGTTGCTGGATGAAGCATCTTATTTGTTGATGATGAAGAGAAATATACAATTAGTTCCTTGTCATTGATTTGTTTACTTATTCAATGCCATTTATACTTGAACATTTGGATTTGATTACATAGTGTAGTAGTTATTTTAGTAATTTGTTTAAAGTGGCTATTTATTTTAAATACATATTTTTTAAGGTTGACTTGTACAGTGCTCAAGTCAAGTGTGGACTGGAGTTTTAGATTTTCATTTTGATAATGAAGAAAACAAGTGGTGTTTCTTTGATTTGTTTACATATTGTTTATGTTTCGAATGTTTGGATTTGTATAATTTAAACCTGCACTGACTACTGTAACATGTTCCAGAAAAAGAAGCTATTTGTTCCTTTACTTGTGAAAAGTTGCACTTTTGCTAAGGCTTTGTGTTATTTTAGGTTTAATAAACACTGTTAAACTATTTCAAAACTATTTCAGTTTGTGTAGAACAGGACTATCAATGCTTTCTGAACATATGCAACACCGTTTAAAAAATACCGCGATAATACCGAAAACCGTGATAATTTTGGTCACAATAACCGTGAGGTTAAATTTTCATACCGTGACAACCCTACCCCTAGCATAGCTGCTACTTACCACATGGCCAGATTTATGGTGGTTCTTTCCTCCTGAAGGAAGGATTTTAAGTTCACTAAACTTACAGCCATTTTCCTTCTGCTCTCTCAGTAGAAAATAGCGATTTAAGCCCCATTGACTTACATTCATGTTTTCATTCTTCTGGGGATCCATGATGTAGAAATAGATGGGCGTGGTTTAGGCTCCCTACTTAGAGAGTCGTTGTGTTGATTAGATGCAAGAAGGTGTGACTTAGACTGAAACTGCTTAGGAATGAGATTCAAAGCTGCATTATAGGTACTGGAGAGGTGAAATCTAAGGGGTGGGCTTTAAAGTCATTGAAGTCTTCCTGCGCAGAGAGGAGGATAGTTTTCATCTATAAATAATCAGCAACTGTGGTGAGTGTTCTTAATTTTATTTACACATAAAACCAAATTAATGAATACATTTTTGAGCTGTTGATCATGGTGCAGTTGCAGCTGTAATGGAGAGGTTTGAAACTGGAGCTCTTATTGTCACAATGGTATATTCTCTCAATACACAAAATGCTCGTCTTAAGATTTAATTATTGACTATTTGATTGAGCAAATATCCATGCGTAATCTCTAAGATACTTATATAAAGAAGCTGCTTCACTGATTATTGTCTCCCTGTATTATTATCATTTCTTTGTGTTTATCTCTTAATTCTAATTTAGCTTTTCATTTATTTTTTCTTGCACCAAGTACAACACAACTGTGGTGGGCCTAATCAGCCAGGGATATGAGTCAGCATCCAGGAAGAGGTGCGGCAGCTGGTGGAGCGGTGTACAGCTAACAACCTGGCCCTGAACACCAAATCAGAAATCCTCGTTGACCTAAGAAGGAAAAAGGTGGAGCACCAGTCACTCACAATAAATGGAGAGCAGAGAGGGTGTCATAGTTCAGGCTCTTGGGCACAAAGTTTTACCAACCTTTATAGCTACTGATGCAGAGTAGGTGTCAAAATGATGCGGTTGCTATCCGTGGTGCTGAACTGCTTTGATTTAGTGTTGTTTTATTATGAGTGACCATGTGAGCTAATGTTTTTGTTGTTCTCTTGGTTTGTTGTGCTTCAGGTCCCTGTGATGATACTCGCTCTTTGTGTTGCTGAGGCTTATCAGCCCCGCTGTTGCTGCTATGTGTTATGTTGTTTTACTTAAAATAAACAATCATCTAATTTAGTTTATTGAACCTTATTGAACACATTTTCCATTAATCTGTTAGTCACCATGTTTCCTATTCCATTCCTTTCTGCTTCTCTAATCTTGTGAAACTCTGAAATCAATTTTAAAAAATTGTGTTATCATGACCTTAATTATTTGTGTTTAAAGGGCCCTGTCATTTGCTCCGCCTCCACCTGGCTCTGATTTGTTCTGCTAGTGCAGCTAACCAAATCCATGATTTAATCTAAAATTTGAGATAGTAAATATAAACATTTAAATTTTCCTCTGTGTCCGAGCCGGAATTAGAATCCGTATTATTCTCTGGATCAAGCTAACAGGACTCCCTCTGCCTACGTCACTTCTGGTTTGGAAGAAAAAAAAACATTTTTTTCTCACAAAAATGACTCCCAAAGCCTAAATAATTTATGTATGTGTACATTTTTATTATGTTTCTCTAAACATTGGTTTAACGGAGGCTCTAACCTGGAGTGCGCGCTTTAAACCTTACAGCTTATAAAGGCATGCAGTAAACCAAATAAACCATTCTAAACAAAACAGAGAAAATAAATGAGCCATTAGTATACCTCTATGTTAAGTAAATTATATTTTTGCTCTTTCATCATAAATCATGACAACCAATATTAGGCCAAATGAACAGGAAAGCAGCAGTGGGAGTTAAAATGTTGAAATAAACTGTAATCTTTCATGTCAGAAAAATAGACTAAAGGATGCAAAAGTAAATAAAACACATCTGAATCAAACTCAAACGCATTTCTCAACAGACGTCAGTTACACTCCCACAATCAGCCAGAAGGGGGAGTTGGTGTTCGAACTTCCACTAAATCGCCACCCAGGAGTCGAACACGGATGCTTGATGCCATTCCTCGTCTCACCAGTTCATCTTTGATCTGGAGGAGGAAACGAGAAGTTGTTGAGATGAAAGCAGAGCTACAACATAAACGGTTCCAGACGAATGTTGCTATGTGGCAGTGGCTTATCTATTTATCTAATAGAGTCATAGACAAACGTTTCAAAGTAAATAACTATGTTGCTCTGGCGATTCAACTTTTATCCTTGGGGGAATAAGCTGTTCTTCTTTTGGAGGATCTTAAGTGATGCCAATGTTAAAGTTTCTCGCATTGCATCATGGGAATGTGTGGCAAGAAGAAACAAGGTATTTTGCCTATAATTCGATTGTTTTGCACGTTTGGAGGAGGATTTAATGAAGCAGATGGATTATTCTTGCTGTGTGGATAATTGTTTCGCCTGTGGGAGGATTGGTAAAAGTCTTTATTGGGATTTGCTCCGTAAACGACCGCGAAATACAAAAGAGATGACTGCGGATAACCCGGACCCTCCGGAGAAAGCCTAGACTCCTTGTGAGGCTCATTGAGTTTATGGTAAGTACTTGTGACAAAATATTAGTTAATTAGAGAAGATGTTTTTAAAAACATACATTTTCACGTCTTTTTAAATCCACAGAGTCATGTTGTTTTCCCGTTCTGATTCAGGTCTCAGGTGTCTGTTTGATTACTGACTGACCAGGCTGATGTTTTCCACAGAAACATGGATGAATGAGCTTAATAGCTGACTCTGAGGTTTACCTGGAAGGATTTAAATTCGCGCGGGCCGCCAGGAGCGCGGACCAGAGCGGTAAGCGCAAAGGTGGGGGTCTGGCTGTGTTTATTAATGAGAGATGGTGCAACTAGGGCCATGTGACCATTAAACAACAACTCTGTACAAAAGACATTGAGTTACTGGCTGTTGGTCTCCGGCCCTATTTAATCCCAAGAGAGTTTTCACATTCTTCCTGTTAAAAGGGAGTTTTCCTCTCCGCTGTCGCTGCATGCTTGCTTAGTATGAGGATTGCTGTAGGCACTGCCACTAGTCAGTCACTCCATGTTGGATTCCTTGTATAGGAAACTTTTTACTGATTGGTTTAATGCACTGAGCTGTATTGGAATGCTTAACATGCACGCACGCACGCACGCGCGTGCACACACACACACACATTTTAATCAGTAAAGCTGAAGTAAATGCAACAGGAAATGCAAAGTAGCTGTATGACCACTCCTGTCTCTCTCATTGTTCACTGTCTGGATAGTCCCATTTGGTTGACTACAGCATGGCTGCAACTTAATTTATACTGAAACTGTAATCTGTCTTGGTCGAGACGGATTCCTTCAATGGACCTGCCGGCTCTGGTTGTCTTTCTTACAGGTGCAACCCTTTAACTACAGCGTTTGTGTTCAGTCATTGGTAACCAAAAGAAACTGCTTCTTTCATCCAAACATCAGAAGGGACTTTCATAAACAACCACTACATTTTACCAAGATCTGTGACAAAACACAAAGCATGCGGAAGAAAATGTTCTGAAATCCAGAAAGTCACTAACCGCGTTTTGAAGGATCTCCTTGTCGTTCACCAGAGACAATGTAGTAGCAATTTTCATTTTCAGATGAAAAACGTGATCTAGAATCAACATTAAATGTGCAGGTCAGTATCATTCTGTCACAGTCTGCTCCTCAGCTCCTGTTTAGTGTCTTGCTAGAATTAATTAGTCTAAACTGCTCCTTGGTTCCTGCCCGCCTGCTCCTGGTTAACCCTGTGTATGTAATCCCTGTTTGTTGTGTCCTGTTGGTCGGTTCATCTGCATTAGTTTGTGTTACGCTGCTCCTGTGCCTGGTCTTTCTTTGTTCTCATGGTAACTGACTCATTAAGGAACAGCCTTCTGCAGCTGCTTCCTGGTGCACTCTCCTGCATTTGGGTCCTCACACACCCTTATGGCAGAACAAAGCAGCCAGAGTGGATCTATTGGAGGCTGTTGGTGTGCCCACAGGGGATTGACTCACGACGTTGGGAACGGGTCCGAGCTCCGTCACCATTTCCACCACCAGGATGATGTTGCCGGTGCAGTGCAGCCCTTCCCGACGCCACCTTCTCTTCTTCGGTGCGTCAAAGGAGTTCCATGCTGTGGCAGCCAGATGTCCAAGCTCTGTCATCCCCTCCACCAGAACGAAGGTCCTGGCACTGCACAGCCTCTCCCGATGCTATCTCATCTTCTTTGGCAGGTCAGAGGCATTCCACACCATAGCACTGAGTGGACAGACCTCTGCCATCTATCCAAGAGGCCCTGCTCTGCTATCCAGTCTGGAGCTGCAGCCAAACCGTCCAAGGACCTTGGTTCCTGCGGTCCTGTCTTTTATCTTCCTGGTTCCCGTGGTTCCACCTCCTGTGTACCCCTCAAAGGTGTTCCTGCATCCTCCTGAGTTCCAGTCTTCTGCATCTCAGCCTTCTGGGTTCCTGTCTGAGTTGCAGTCTCCTGTGTCACCACTTCTTCCTGAGTTCCAGTCTTGTGTGTCTTTGTCTGTTGGGTGCCACCTCAAAGGGCCCACCGGCACCCACTTCTGTGTCTCTGGTGCTGTTCCCTATCACTCAGCTTGCCCCTGCTCTCTCGTCTCTGCCCTTGAGGTTCCCGGACCTTTAGGACCCCCCCCCCCCCCCCCCCCCCCAGCACCCCACCCTCCATGGTCCCTGAGGTTCTTGTGCACCAGATGCAGGCCCTCTAGGCTCCTGCATTTCTGGTGCCTCCGACACCGCTTGTAGGGTTTTTGTGTTTCTGGTGGTTCCCTCCCGCCTGACCCTTTTGGGCTGTTCTTGGTTTTTGTCCCTTGTGTGGGTTTCTGCTATTGGGCATCCAGTGCCACCCTTTGATGTGGAAGAGGTGATGTCACATTTCGTCCCCCAGCTCCTGTTTAGTGTCTTTTTGGTGTTAATCTGTCTCACCTGCCCCTTGTTTTCTTGACCCGCTTGTTGTGCTGGTCGGTTTGTCTGCATCGCTTTTTGTTGCTCCTGTGCCTGGTCTTTCTGTTGTTCTCCTGGTTCCTGACATCACCTCATTAAAATAATTTAACCATCTACGGCTGCCTCCTGGTGTGCTCTTACCTACAATTGTATCCTCACACACCCTTATCATGAGACATTCACATTACAGGCCGTGTTATAAAATTTGCATCTGATCATTAAAGTGCACACTCAAACATCAGCTACATGTGGAACTGTGGACAAAAACAGATTATCAAAAACGTCAAGTCATGGAATCAGTGATGTAATTAAAACAAATAAACGAATGAGAAACTCCACTCACGAGGTCTGACTGTCACAACAACACATCGATGCTCAGACTGATATGAAACACCAGAGTATCTGTGGAAGATAAAAATTGACATTAAATGTATTTAAAAATTAGCAGAGTTATTTTTAAACATGTTGTTTTCTCACAAGCTGGAATAGAATTTCAGTCGTTCATAAGAAAATAACAAAGAGAGTTAATAAGTGTTGAGCACCGTGGGTTTATGTTAAGGTTGTAGAAGGAGCTCGAGAAATTAAATAAATGAAAATAAAAGTCACTATATTTAAGGATATATACACAAGAGAACGCTCAACCCAGACAGCGTCTCTCAAAACAGCACAGTGAGTATCATTGTGCATCAAAGTTAAATGATAGAAGTTTGAATTACTGAAAATTAACTATAATTCCTGTTTCAATAAATATTTTACAAATATAGTGATTTAAGCAATATTTTCTGATCATTTCTACAGTTTTAAAAATGACATTTGCAGAAAATGATAGGGGTAGAACGTATGTTTATACCACACTAGTATATCCAGATCCTTCAAAATCACCTCATTAAAGTCATTCACATTTTAATAGATACATTGTAGTCATAGAGGTCTAATGATGAGGCCACGACTGCTTCCCCAAGACACACTTCTGATCCTTCACCTAACCTATCTACCTCATCTGCTGAGACCACACCTGAAGCTGCAACCTTGTCCAGGCCACCCACACACACAATAATGGTTAGATCCATGTTATTTGTTCGTCTCTGTCGTCTCACCCTTGCGATCCTCCTCCGCAGCAGGGACACCAGGATCATCGCACCCAGCAGGATCTGCAGGAGAGCCTTCTGGTTCAGTCTTTGTGCCAGACTCATTCTCAGTCTGTAAAATCCCCAATTCCTCTAAACGCTCCACAATAAGCAGTTTCAAGTCTTTTTTCAGGGCAGGGTTCGGGATGTCAAGATCAAGGTTGACAGCTATTTGCAGGAGGTCAGCCTTGCGGCAACGCCCCAGCACCTCACGGGACGGAGCCTCCATAAATGTCTCCACACAAAACTGAGCCATGCTTAGGAGCACAGGAACAAAAGAACACAACACAAAACCCACACCGGTCTTCCAAAACCAACAAAGGGCTACCAGATGTTAAAACTAGTCCAAAAGTTTGACACGGGCTTAACTGATCTAAAACAGGCTATTAAACATGTAATAAAGCAGTAATTATCCTGGACGAGCCCCCATTTATGTCACACCCCTCTGTGGGCTCAGCTAAGAAGGTGAGGAGGGGGCAACATAAGAAGGTGCAGAATGCGGCGGCCCGCCTTTAGACGGACACCAGACGGAGGGAGCACATTACTCCTGTTCTGGCCAAGCCGCACTGGTTCCCGGTGCGCTACCGCATCCAGTTTAAAGTATTACTTCTTGTTTTTAAGCCACTCTATCTTTATGCGCCTCTGTACCTGACTCAGCTGGTTCAGGTCGAATTCTTCGTTCATCAGACCACCACCTGTTACAGGTCCCAAGTGCTCTTGTGAGGACACGAGGAGAACACGTGTTCTCAATCTGTGTGCCTCGTCTCTGGAACCAACTCCCTCTAGCAGTGAGAATGGCCCCCTCTCTCTCTGATTTTAAATCACACCTGAAGGCTCATTTTTATTCCTTGGCTTTTACTTCAGCCTAGTTAGCATTTTACTATGTCTCTGTTTTATTTTTATTGTTGATTTTAGAGTAGTTGCTGTACTACTTTTATTACTTTCTTCCCGTGTGTTGATTTTTATGCTCTTTTACTGTGTAGCACTTTGGCTGGCCTTGGCCATGTAGAAATGTGCTTTATAAATAAAAAGGAAAATAAAATAGAAAACGCCTCGACATGTGGATGCTGTTGCTGCTGCATTTCTCCAGAGACTGGCGGAGGTCAGAGAGGAAGCCTTGCTGCTCGCATCTACACCAGTTATGGGTTACATGGGTATGTTCCTTCAGCAGCTGGATCCAGATAATGCAGACATTCTGATGGAGGTTAAGCAGCTCATGCAATGCTATGAATATAAATGTTGGTTTTCTTTTTTGTTAAATGTTTATTAAGTTCCTGCCTTGCAGTTTTTTATTGTTTGTCTTTTCATGAACCGCTCTGGTACATGTTTGTTAATGTAGACTTTAAATTTGCTACAGTTTATAATAATCAGCACAGAAGGGGCATCCCAGGGGCAGGGTAAGGGTGATGAAGGGTCGGAGATGTTTAGTCTATTTAATTTCTGACTATATAAAACGATTTCTTCGGTTTTAAAGTGTGAAGTAAACTCCGACGAAGTAGAATCCAAGCCGATTCCGTTCATGTTCATGTTTATGATCCGTTAGTTTAGCTTTTTTTCCTGCCAATATGGCGTCTACTAACTGAGAGTCACGTGGGGTCCGGAGATCTATTGGGCTACTAAACCTGTTTATGTTGTCTGAACTGTAGTACTTTGAAAATATTGTAACCACAAATTCTCTTTTTTTTTATATGCTGGGTGAAGCAATAATTCACCGTTGTTCAACTTTCGGACGGTTATCCTAATTCTCTTTGTAGATAGAGCCTAGTAGATGTCTAGTACTTGACTAAAACTAGTCCCCTCTATAGGTGCTACATTAACATTTATGAGCATTCTCCCTCAACTGGCATCACATAAGGCCATCACTTTGTAGAAGGAACTTCCACTATTGGCAGGTGCATCAACACTCATGTGTTTCCCATCAATTGCTCCAACACAGTTGGGAAAATTGCAAAGGGACCAGAATAACTCTTGGATTTGCATCCACTTTATAATGATGGGAAGACCACGGCATCATATTTTAGTGCAGTCCATATAGCTTTGCAAACTTCATCAAAACAACATCCAACTGTTGCTGATCCACGTTTGTAGCTTGGTAGCTGCAACCAGTAGCAAGAAAACGGTGTGTGACAGCTAGGCGCTCAGCTGAACTGACAGGATCACTGTGTGTTTTAGTGGGAAATCGGTGGCGTGATCCATCTGAGCGACTTATCAACAGTCGAAGATGACATTCGAAAATATTGATTAAATTGATGGTTCGTCATCATCAATTTGTCTCACTGGCACCATTGTCACGTCGTGTGTAATGGATACATTTGATCTCTCTTATTTACTTTACCATTACAAACTTACAGTGGGGCCAGAGAAGTTGGTTTTATGACAGCTACAAAAGTTTTTCTTTTTAGCTACAGTTCCCTGAGAGTTCTGCTTCAAAGGGCAGGAGAAGCATTAGGTGCTTTTATAAGAGACACCATGCCAGCAAATCGGCGTAATACAGTATTACCGCAACGGTATGTCTATAAACGCGCCATGCCGGCATGGCGATGCGCGAAAATTGTGGCATTCGTTCCCCCTCGCTTGGTAGTAATATTGCCGCATCAGCCCCTCGCCTCTGACGGCTAAACGCATGTCAGCCTTGGTAATCCCTTTGGAGTGACAAAGAGGGTGGTCGCGTTAGTCACGTATACTACGCGCCAGGTGCCGGCCAGAAGGAAAGCCGGCTGGACGGACGCGGAGACCATGGAGCTTTTGGCCGTGTGAGCGGACGAAGAGATTAGTCGCCTTTTTACGTGGACGGTGAGAGACAGCCAGCTGTTCGACAGAGTGTTGAAAACACTGGCTGAGCGGGGCGTCAAGCGGGACAAAAAGCAGGTCACATCAAAGGTAAAGGTCCTGAAAAAGAAATTTCATCAGTCTGACGTGTCTTCCGTCTGACGCTGAATGCGCTACCCTGTACATCACATGCGGGGGGCCACCCAGCGACCCCCCCAATATCCCGTCGTGGTTTGAGAGGTGCCTGATGGCAGTTTATTCTAGCTTCAGCTTTGCTACTATAAATGCCAAAATCCTCCCCAGGTTGCCGCAGCAAATCCCGTCTTGCAAACGCTATGGTCCTATAAAAGCAGCTATTGCCTCATCCATTGGATGAGGGGAGTTCAAGGGGGATATATAGAGTGTGGGAGCCTCTACTAAGCAGGACTCACTCCTGCGGCTGCTTTGGGAAGAGCTTCTGTGACTACGTTTACATGCAGCCAATATCCGGGTTATGATCGGGTTAAGGTCGGTATTCGGGTTTCTGAGTTGATCAGAATAACCCGTTTACAAGCATAAATAGAAAGAGTTACCCCTAACTTGCATAACCCGATATAAATGCGGACGTTGGGGTAGCGTCAGGACGTATGGACTACGTCCAGACGCAATATGCGTCATTTCCGGTTCTTCTTGTTCCGGTATCCGTGAAAACAACATGTTTCCCAGTTCGGAAGAGATAGCGACCGCGTTTGTTTGTGCTTTAGTTTCCTCGTCACTCCAAATGTGTGGTGCTGTGCCGCGACTCGCCATGTTGCTCCCAACTTGTTGTTTACTTCCGGTGTTCTGGCGCATACAAGACGTCTCGCTATTCAAAAGACCAAGATTCCTTGCGAACAGAGCATGCGCAGAACACACGCTTTGATGGGGATATCCCGATAAGCGTTTACACGACCAAACATTCGGGTTAGAAAAGGGTTAACCCAGGTGTAGTAACCGGGGTTTTTAAAAACCCGGTTTTGAGCATATCCGGGTTTTTGGCGGTGTTTACATGGACCTGCGGAACCGGGTTATTGTGAATATTCGGGTTTTAAAAGGGTTACTGGCTGCACGTAAACGCAGTCAGTGACTGTCTCCTCATTTCGATATTGCAGTATTGAAATTAAACCCTTTTGATTGAGCCATGGACTGCTTTCTCATTATTTTATTAAGTCTCTAAAATCAATTCCACAACACCGTGTCTGGCTTAGAAGTCGTACATACCATTTACGATTACGCTGATGTCTTTTTTATGTCGGGATCTCAAAATTAACCAGCTGCTAATCTCCGCCGGTGTCACCATGTTTGTTTGTTTGTAACCGCAAATCCAGAACTCTATCCGGTCTGAGTTCTCTACTGCGCCCCCTAGTGCAATACTCCAGTACAACATGCAGTGCAGTGTCATGCAGCAGCAAGTACGTGAACCAAGACGTAGCCTGCTGCAAGCGTCAACGCATGGTTAAACAGCAAGTGTATCACGACCCTTACATTAATCACGACTGACTCGCTTAAATAATGACTTTCATCAGATTGGATTCTGACCTCGCTTCAACAAGGAAACAGATGGGGTGACTTTCGTTGTCTTGACTATCAAGTGGTGTCCACGTTAGGGTGTAGCTTCCTGGTCCTGATGTGCTCTTAACCATATTGTACGGCCTGCTGACGAAGAAGTTAGAAATCCTGAAAAATGAAACGTAAAAAACCAACAGGAAATGACTGCTTTGTTACCTTCACAAACAAAACAGTTTTCCATATTACATTTGATCCCGGATCTAAATGTTCCACCTGCGGAAGAGCTCCCCTCACCTGTCTCAGATGTGAAACAGTCTTCTTTTAACATGTGTAATGTTTATATTAATACCATTTTATATCTTTAGAAGAGTATAGCGTCTATTTTTCGATTTTTCTGGATTAAATGAAAACTACTGCTCAAAACCTCAGATCAGGTTAAAAATCTTGGTGTCATAACTAATTCAGACCTAAGCTTCACTGGTCACATTAAGGCTCTAATTAGATCAGTGTTTTATCAACTTCATCACATAGCATGACTCAGGGGTCTCATGTCCAGGCAAGACCTAAAGAAACTCCTTCATGCGTTCATCTACAGCAGGCTGGACTATTACAACGGTCTTTTAACTGGTCTTCCCAAAAAAAGCTGTGAAGCAGGTGCAGTTTACAAGTGCTGGCCAGTAAATTAGAATATCATCAAAAGGTTGAAAATATTTCAGTAATTCCATTCAAAACGTGAAACTTGTACATTATATTCATGCAATGCACACAGACCAATGTATTTCCAATGTTCATTACATTTAAATTTGATATTCATAAGTGACAACTAATGAAAACTCCAAATTTGGTATCTCAAAAAATTAGAATATTCTGAAAAGGCTGAAAATAGAAGACACCTGCTGCCACTCTAATCAGCTGATTTACTCAAAACACCTGCAAAGGCCTTTAAAAGGTCCCTCAGTCTTGTTTTGAAGGCACCACAATCATGGGGAAGACTTCTGACTTAACAGCTGTCCAAAAGACAATCATTGACACCTTGCACAAGGAGGGCAAGACACAAAAGGTGATTGCTAAAGAAGCTGGCTGTTCGCAGAGCTCTGTGTCCAAGCACATTAACAGACAGGCGAAGGGACGGAAAAAATGTGGTAGAAAAAAGTGTACAAGCTCTAGGGATAACCGCACCCTGCAGAGAATTGTGACGACAAACCCATTCAAAAATGTGGGGGAGATCCACAAAGAGTGGACTGCAGCTGGAGTCAGCGCTTCAAGAACCACCACGAGGAGACTCATGAAAGACATGGGATTCAGGTGTCGCATTCCGTGTGTCAAGCCACTCTTGAACAAGAAACAGCGCAAGAAGCGTCTCGCCTGGGCCAAGGACAAAAAGGACTGGACTGATGCTGAGTGGTCCAAAGTTATGTTTTCTGATGAAAGCAAGTTCTGCATTTCCTTTGGAAATCAAGGACCCAGAGTCTGGAGGAAGAGCGGAGAAGCACAGAATCCACGTTGCATGAGGTCCAGTGTAAAGTTTCCACCGTCAGTGATGGTGTGGGGTGCCATGTCATCTGCCGGTGTTGGCCCACTCTGTTTCCTGAGGTCCAGGGTCAATGCAGCCGTCTACCAGGAAGTTTTAGAGCACTTCATGCTTCCTGCTGCTGACCAACTTTATGGGGATGCAGACTTCACCTTTCAACAGGACTTGGCACCTGCACACAGTGCCAAAACCACCAGCACCTGGTTCAAGGACCATGGTATCCCTGTCCTTGATTGGCCAGCAAACTCGCCTGACCTTAACCCCATAGAAAATCTATGGGGTATTGTGAAGCGGAGGATGCAATACGCTAGACCCAACAATGCAGAGGAGCTGAAGACGACTATCAGAGCAACCTGGGCTATCATAACACCTGAGCAGTGCCACAGACTGATCGAGTCCATGCCACGCCGCATTACTGCAGTTATTGAGGCAAAAGGAGCCCCGACTAAGTATTGAGTGCTATACATGCACATTCTTTTCATGTTCATTCTTTTCAGTTGGCCAACATTAGAGAAACAAACATTTTTTCATTGGCCTTTAGAATATTCTAATTTTCTGAGATACCAGATTTGATGTTTTCATTGGTTGTCACCTATAAATATCAAAATTAAACGTAATAAACATCGGAAATACATTGGTCTGTGTGCATTGCATGAATATAATGTACAAGTTTCACGTTTTGAATGGAATTACTGAAATATTTTCAACCTTTTGATGATATTCTAATTTACTGACCAGCACTTGTATATATGCCCAGCAGGGCTCTGACATCCTTAGGAAGCAGTCAGCTGGTAGAACCAGGGTCAGAACCAAACAGGGTGAAGACGCTTTAGCTACTATGCTGCATACAGGTGGAATCAGCTTCCTCATGACTTCAAATGTGCCCCAACTCTGGTTACTACTAAATCAAAATTGAAAACTTTCATGTATTCATCTGCCTTTCAATAAATGACCCAGTGGGGTGGTGTGTGAGAGGAGGATGCTGGCTAAATGATCATCAGTGCAGGTTAACATCTCTTCAGTGGAAGGTTGCTACACCTAAGATGTAGAAGAGTGAGATATCGTAGGTCTTTCTGTATAACCTCGGTCACACTAAAGACCTTACAGTTAACCATTCAGACAAATACACATGGGTTAGAGAACACACTCAGCCAATACACAATAGTAGTTTTTAGTCATGTACAATATTACTTAAGTGTAGTTTTCTGGTGTAAAATGTGAAATCTCTACTGAAAAGTGCAATGTATAATGTGCAGTTTATGTGTTTTTGGTTTTTTGTGTCTTGTATTACATTTTAGAGTTTTGTAAACTCACTGCTCTTTCCTATGTACTGTTCTTTATCTGCCGTGACAAAAGCACATTCCCACTAATCTTCTTATGCTGCACCTTCTCCTCTGTAATTTCTCTGTTTCTAACTTTGCATTTTTGTTTTATTTGTAGCACCCATGAAATGGATTGCCACATTTAAATCTTAATTATATAAACATATATATATATATATATATATATATATATATATATATATATATATATATATATATATATATATATATATATATATATATCACATCAGTGTGTGAATGTGTGTGTGAATGGATGAATGATACACTGTAGTGTAAAGCGCTTTGCAGTCCTTACTCTGAGAGGCGCTATACAAGTGCGGGTCATTTATCATTTATCATAACCTTTAAGACAAATAGCAACACTTAAAACAACTTCCGAACTGGAAAAACTAATATCCGCGATTAACATCTGTTTAAGTACCGGACGAGGTTATCTCTGCTTTCTGAATGTCCATATTGCTAGATATGCTGAGTTTTAAGGCGAAATCCTGGGGAATTTCGTCTAAAAATGCAATTACCTAACCGTGCGCGATCCCGCGGTGGCTAATCATTTTTTGGCAGCCAGTCGATTTATGGCACAACACCGGTAAACTAAACAAACAGCTGTTACAGTTACAACGGTTTTCCGTGTGTCCGCTATTATGTGCCAAACGGTGCCAGCTTCATTATAATATACTGTGTTATGTTGAAACTGGAGTCTCGGCGCTATTAAAAAGGAGGATGATTGTATTCGGCAAACTTTTTCTACTGTATTACAGAGAGTGACAAGAAAAGAGTGTGTTTTATAAGAATAGCTTAACTGAGTGGCAAAGTTTAAACGTTTAACCCGGTTAATAATTTCCTGTTTTGATGTTTGTAAGATCATATAACACATGGACATTTGATCAATTTATTTCAGTAGTCTGTTTTACACAGAGCATGGTTGATTGGTAACAATTGATTGCGGATAGCACGCTATGATTGAATTCAGCGATACACTGTAAAAGAGAACCTCAATGGGAACTATTTGCAGAGAGTGATAGTTTAAAGAGCAAGTCACCCCCTACCAGAGTCACACCCCACTCCCACTTCCTGTTTGAAAAATGCAACAAATGCTGTTGCCTGGCAGACCGAGAGGGCGGAGCCGCTAACAAATACACACAAACACAGACTCACAATGACATTGTGACATCATAATGTACCAGCTAAAGTCATAGTGAACCTGTTGGCCAATAGCGATGGCGGATTTAAATTCAAATGCAGTGTAGAGTTTTTACCTAAGGACGGCACATCACTGACAGTTTTAGGCAGAAAATTTTTATATTAACCAAGATGCACTAAAGTGCAAAATTATTGACTACGTGTGTCTACAGCACAATTAGACACTCATTTATATAGTTTATCAGCCAAAAAAGGTTGATTTGGGGGTGACTTGCTCTTTGAAGTAATTAACAGTAGAAATGTGTTGTCACCTAAAATGAAATGTACGTCCTGACTAGAATGCTGTGAGAAGCAACTTGAGGGATGATGTAAGTTATATGTTTGGAGTTAAATTATAAGGAAATGAAATGGAGTAACAGAAATGAACCGAGTGACTATAATTTCATGAGTTTGTAAAATAAAAGAGACGTAAACAGGAGAGGCATCCTGTCTTCAGTACTCTGCTTTCGCCTGTTTTACACAGGCAACCTACTTGTGACGGCAGTTACCACTCCTGGGACCCGTTACATATTTCTTACACCTTATTTTATTAAAGTAAATAACATTGATTCTATAATCTGCTGTTTTATGTTGTCACGTTGAGTTTAATGCTTCATGTTGTACCTGGAAAGCACATTCAATTGCTTATGTGTGTGTGAAGTGTGCTTTACAGTAAAGCTGTGACCATAAAGTTGTGTCATTCAGCCTTTCAAATAGTATGAGGCTCCACAACTTGACATTTTTAAAATACCTGTACAACTAGCAGATTTGTTGCATGCTCTTTTAATTCCTTTATTGGTGTTTAAATTAGTTTAACTTCCTCTTACTGAGACTGAGTTGCCTCGGCTCTGATGGTAATTTGCAGAGTCTCTTTAACAGTGATGTAGATCTGAGCTCGGTGTTCTGGAGTTGGAGGCAGAAATCTGGGCAGATAGAGACCTTCAGTGCAGGATGGAATTGCAGGAAGCACTGGAACAACACAGACAGCAAACAGGCATTCATTTAATGTTTATATTTAAATACTGTTGTGGATCAGGAAGTACCTGAGTATTAGTAAGGAACTGAGGAACGCTTGGAAGAGGGGAAAGTCAGTTAGTCCTGTGGAAATGTGTAGGAGAGGTGGCAGTAGAATATTTTTTTACTACAAGATCGAGATTAGTGAGGAGATGACTTGAGGAGTAGAGGGGATTTGACCTAGTGCCAGTTTTCAAGATCAATGGAGATGTATAGAATAATGGCAGCCACAGAGGAACAACGGTAATGAGTCATACAATGAAGCTCTGGAAAAGAGTGATGGAAGATAGGCTTAGGTCAGAAATCAACTTTTTTGATCACAGTATGGTTTCATGCCAAGAAGCAGTAAAGCTGCTGCTTTTGCCTTGAGAATGCTGATGAAGAAGTACAGAGAGAGTCAGAGGTAGGTTTGCAGAAAGTCTGTGACAGGGTGCTGAGAGACGAGCTGTGGTGCATGAGGAGGTTTGGAGTGGTGGAGAAAAATGTTGAAGTGGTGCAGAACATGTATGAGAGCTGTGAGACAGCAGCGAGGTGGCAGCCTTGCGTGTGTACCTTGTTGTTCCAGGTGTGCCAGAACAGTAAATGGTAAATGGCCTGTATTTGTGTAGCACCTTCTTAGGGTTCTACAACCCCCCAAGGCACTTCACAACACAATCAGTCATTCACCCATTCACACACACATTCATACTCTAGTGGGGATGAGCTACGATGCAGCTACAGCTGTCCTAGGGTGCATTGAGAGAGGCGAGGCCCGCCGAACACTGGCACCACCGGTCCCTCCGACCACCACCAGCAATGTAAAGGAAGGTAGAGATGGCATCATCTGTTGGTTCTGTAGACATATTGGTGGGGAACTTCAGCCAGCTCTGCTGCACAGTCACATAGCACCGTTCCCTGAATGCCATCTGGACCAGCTGCTTTCCTAGTGTTAACACCTCTGAGTGCACACTGTACCTCAGCAATCTGCAGGACCTACTTCCAGCAGGATAGTGCTCCATGTAAAAAAGCTCGAATCATCTCAAACTGGTTTCTTGAACATGACAATGAGTTCACTGTACTCAAACGACCTCCACAGTCACCATATCTAATCCAGTAGAGAGTCTTTGGGATGTGGTGTAATGGGTGATTCTCATCATGGATGTGCAGCCGACAAATCTGCAGCAACTGCATGATGCAATCATGTTAATATGGACCTGTCACAACCTGTCCTGTCTCCCCACTCTATTCAGTCCTGTGTCTTTCCTAATTGCTCCCACCTGCCTCTCGTCTCCCATTCACTTCAGATCCCAGCTCCTTGTGTATCTAAACCCTCACAGGTATGGGTTCCTTGGCTGTCCATTGTTTCCATGTCCCGCATGCTTATCATTAAAAACCTCTTTAAACGGTCCTGCCTGCCTGCCTGCCTTCTTCCTCACCTCTGCTTGACTCATCTGTGAGGAAACAGGACCAAAACCTCTGAGGAATGTTTCCAGTATCTTGTGGAATCTATGCCATGAAGGATTACGGCAGTTCTGAAGGCAAAAACAGGGGTCCAACCTGGCATTAGCAAGGTGTACCCAAAAAAATGGCCAGTGACTGTGTATTGGCAGATAAACTAAGGACATAAGAAAGAAAGAAAGAAAGAAAAAAAGAAAGAAAGAAAGAAAGAAAGAAAGAAAGAAAGAAAAAAGAAAGAAAGAAAGAAAAGGAAACTTAAAAGACATATTCTCCATTTTCTTCATTTTTAATGCAATGCTGAAGTATTGGGTTGGGACTCGGTTTGGGGAAATACTCTAAATTAAATGACTCAGACTCGGAGCAGGGGAGTAAAATAATGTGATCAGGACGTCTGTAATCAACACGTTCTCACTCCCAGCGCGTCAAAAACAAACGCTTGGTCAGCCACCCTCCACGTCAGACCCCAGACGCCAAAAGTGCCCTTTTTCGTTACTTATGTGCGAAAAGGGGGTTTCCCTTATTTGACTGCAGATCCCAATGCAGCGTAAAACTGACGTGATGGGATGTCCGCTACCGTTGCATCCCAATGCAGCGTTACACTGACGCGATGGGATGTCCGCAGCCAGGGCACCAAACAAGCTCATTGTACCTCACCTTAACCTTATCCTCTTATTTAACCTTCCCCTCACCCCTATCCTAACCTTAACCATCTTGCCAGCGAACAAGTTGGTGATGTGTCGATCGCTCTAAAAGCCGGCTCTATGAAGTGAACGGCGGGAGCCGCCTCGTGATTGGTCGAGTTTGGACCGAGCCAACGTGAGGGGAGGTTTCAACTACCACGGTGGAGGTTAAAAGTAGAGGGTATGTGTAACCTCCCCCTCGCCAGATAGTGTGTTCTAACGGTCCCCTTGGGCGGCAAATACGAAAATTCACAGTCAGACTCTGACTGTCAGAGTCAGAATGCATGGGAAACAAACGCTTGATCACAGTGAGAGTAACGTTTTAGGTAGCAAGAGGGTTAAGGTTAGGATGAGGGAGAGGGGAAGGTTATAAATAGTGAAACGTTGAGGTTTAGGTGCGGTTAAATGAGCTGGTTCTGTGCCGCATCAGCGGATATCTAATCACGTCAGTGTAACGCTGCATTGGGATCTGCAGTTACAAAAGGGAAAAACCCCTTTTCGCACATAAGTAACGAAAAAGGGCACTTTTGGCGTCAGGGGTCTGACGTGGAGGGTGGCTGACCAAGCGTTTGTTTCCGACGCTTAAGGTGTGAGAATGTGTTGCTGTAATCGTAACGATATAAAGCAGCCTAGATCAACTCTCATTGTCCAACGATAAGACAGTCAAATTAGAAATTGTACCCGTGAAAACAAACTGGATGGGTATCTTGGTGATAAAATCACTGGTAGTTTTCAGTTCCTGTAGGTTGCTGGAATCAGTCATGGTGATGTTCTGTCTGGGAAAGTCCTCCATCATCAGCTGGACTGCATAGTCACCTCCATTGCTGCTTGAAGTCGGGCTGAACCACAAAGTACAAGACTGAATGAAAAATTACAAAAAGGGGAAAAACGTCTCGTTATTCTTACAAAAAAAAAAGAAAAAGGTTAAAGTTTCAGTGAATCAGAATGTTCAGACACACCTGTGTTATGTTACCTGTTTGTAACATTGGTTACTTACTGATGAGAGGCTGAGGACCGACGGTGGCGTGCAGTTGTAACACTCTCCCAGCGAATTGTCTGCAAACCTGCATCTAACCATGTCTCCATCAGGGTCAAATCTCAACAAGCTAATGTTTCTCTGACAGTTTGAAGGAAATCTGAAAATAAAGTTTTTAGAGTACTGATACTGATTTCTGTAAACATTTGCTAAAAATCCAGGATTGTTAGTAAATGAACACAATGTTTATGTTTATGTTTATTTATTTAGCAGACGCTTTTATCCAAAGTGACTTACAATTTATAACCTATAACCTATAGGGCATGTTGTGATCTGTGGGGGAAACCGGAGTACCCGGAGAAAACCCACGCATGCATGGGGAGAACACGCTACTCCACGCAGAAAGGCTGCAGCCGAGTTTCGAACCTGCAACCTTCCTGCTGCGAGGCAACAGTGCTAACTACTGCGCCACCATGCAGTACAATGTTAATAGATGCATCGGTAACGCTTCCTTACAGTCCACTAATTACTAAGTACTTACATGGTAATTACAATGTAAGTTAAAGTGTATTATTTTTTCTGAGTTCTGAGTGAAAAGGTTATTGAACAAGAGCAAATTTGATCAGATGATTGAAAGCTAAAAGATATTTAATAGATCAAGATCACAGACTTGTTTTTGTTGTTGTTGTCATAAACCTTGGTTTTCCTGACTTTAAGGTCCATTCAAAGTAATGCTTATTATATTTTCTTTCTAGAAAATTATGCATCTCTTGAAGACATGATATGCAAGAATTTTACTGTGAAATAATCACAAAACAGTCTAAAGTCACAAGGTTACATTGAAAGAAAGAAAGAAAGAAAGAAAGAAAGAAAGAAAGAAAGAAAGAAAGAAAGAAAGAAAGAAAGAAAGAAAAAGAGAGAAAAAGAGAGAAAAGAAAGATAAAAACAGTTATTACCATGTAACACAGGTTCAATTCTAGTTTTTATTTTATTAATCATTCCCAGTAAATACTGCTTTACTCAATAATTACACTTTATTACAATTATACACTGTAACTACACAATAATACACTTTAACTTACTATGTAATTACCATATAAGTACTTAGTAATTAGTGGACTGTCAAAGAAAGTGTTACCGATGCATCTAATCTGTAACTAATGCAATTTATTAAAAAACAGAGCTGGACTGGTAATCAGGTCAACTGGACATGTGTCTTCATTGATACATATATATATATATATATATATATATATATATATATATATATATATATATATATATATATATATATATATATATATATATATATATATATATATATATATATATATATATATATATATATATATATATATATGTGAGGACCATCTGCAGGGAATATTTTTCACTGATCATGGTCAAAAAGGCTTTAGCCAATGATTTGTCCCAGTCCAGCACTGGTGCAAGGTAAAACGTTTCCTCATAGTTTCTGAAACAAAAACTGGGCTGTTGAAGTTTCTTCTGATAGGTGATGGTGTAGAAGTTTGAAATATATATATATATATATATATATATATATATATATATATATATATATATATATATATATATATATATGAAAGAAAACATCAAATCAAAGTTTTCTCTGACTGTTTCAGAGCCAATACAAGACAAGATGTTGTTTGACTAAACGAGTCACCTCACTAATGGGATGGTGGTGGTCTGTGGTGTTGAGTTGGGTTTGCCGATGTCAGACCGTATCCTCAGTTCATTGTAAACCAAAGCCTTCCAAGATACAACACCATTCTTGTTGAATACCCAGTTTCGACTGTACCAGCTGTGGTGAGAGTTAAGGAGACGTGTTCAGATGTTACACAGAGTTTAGGGCAGATCTAAACTCCAACAACAAATTATAAATATTTGTATTTTCAGTACGAATTTTATTAGAGATTTGTAACAGAGACTCACAATGATGTGGAGGAAGTGTAACCAGTTAGAAGCAAACTCCAACTTTTCTGACACCAGTAACCAGCATTTTCCTCAGTGGTGTGTACACACGGGCCTGGTCCGCTGCCACAAATCCACGAGTCAGCCTCAGAGCATGCGCTGAAGCTCAGTTTGACATTTCTGACCACCTGCAGAATTTTAATGAAAAACGTCCTAAGTACATTCAAAATAAGAAGTGTAAAACAAATATTTTTTTGTGTTTCTCAGCTTACCATGGGTCCACTCCCCACAATCCTTTTAGAGGTGTACGTGAGCACCAATCCATGGAAACCAGCTTCCGTCCCACCGACCACCAGCAGCAGCATCAGGAGCACGGAGAACAACATAGTGGATGGGTCAAGGTCTACGGTAAACCACTGAAAACAAGATCGTTAAACTTAAGACAGCTTCTCCTGTTGATTTTCTCTCTTTACTGGAAACTCCAGAAATATTTGCATTTGTGCAAAACAGATTAAAATTACTTATATGAATATTCAAACTTTTCTCTACTAACCTCTTTTCCACCTTGCCTCTGTCTGTGATCCTCTTCAGTAGTGTCCCTGCTACCATCTCCTAAACTGTGATCACAAAAGTTGATTGAGCAGAGATTGACCACTAGAATATTTCAGCTCAGCCGGTAGCTCATGTTGTGTTCACACAAAAAAAAAATATCTAACTGATTTGATTTTCACCTCAGCATCTCATGAGGCTAGGATTAACGAGGTATATGCAGAGCAAAGAGTCATTTGAGGCCGTTTTCTCAGCTGTTTGCTCTCGTGTGCAGCAGGCTTAAGCTCCTTCAAAGGAATCTCCTATCATCTTAATGCCGATAACATCCAACTGTGCATCTCCTTTAAGCCCCATGAGATGTCTAAGCTGCAGCTGTTACACTCCTGCTTATACTATTAAAACCTGGATGGCTGGGAGCTTTCTACAGCTGAATGACGATAAGACTGAGATCCTCATCTGTGCCCCAGACAAGATGGTTCCCAAAGTCAGAGACTCTCTTGGTCAGGTTGCTTCCCACACCAGTAATGTACAGTATTGTTTCCCTGGATGGTACAGAACTACAACTTCTCAGTTCTTATAAGTATCTGGGTGTTTGGCTTGACAGCACACTTTCATTTGGCATTCACATTAACTTTCTTTTTATTTTTTATTTTATTTATTTATTTATTTTTCCCCCTTGTGTTCTGTCTGGCTGTGAAGCAAACAGAATTAATGTCTGAATGCTGATGACAAGCCTTACAAATTTACTCTCAGGTGGAGCATCAAAGCTTCTCCTTTAATGTCACACCTGATACTTAAAACTTTATTGTTATTGTTTTTTTAATGCTTTGTAATTCCGACCAGACATGGAGACAGAGGTGAAAGAGAAAGGAAGAGACAACAGGACAGGGAAGGAGGGGGGTGTTCCACAAAAATAAGCAATCAACGATGAACAAGAGTCTGCTTCTAGACCTGCAGAAAAGGGACACACAACAATACAACTCGAGCAAGCTATCACTGCGTCAACCTGATGAGGAAATATAAAATCAACATTGTTTTCCTGAACAATCACACGATAATAAATCACAGTGCATTTAGTGCCAACCACAGCCTTAAGACGTGCTTAAAATGCCCAAGTCCATACTTATGAGAGCACCATGTAAGCACCTGTGTGTGTACACTCTCTTGTATATATAAGGTTTTTCTATAGGAGCGTCCAACAGAGAGTGTGAGGGGTCACAGATTTGCCCCCTAAAAATGTGCAGGAGATGGAAGGAGCTCCAAGTCCCAGAGATCCAGGAGCTGCCCCAGAGCACAGGGACCCCAGGGAGACTGTAACCAGAAAAGCCCCTGCCCCCCTCGAGAGGCGCAAAGGATTGCCCCGGGGGGCCACTATCAGCAGCCAGCAGAGTCCTGGGAGATATCTGCAGCAAGCCCACAGGCTCGCCCGCAGCCTCCCACCCCCTAGCCGGCCGAGCACGGAACCCAGCGACCCGGGACCCAGGGGTGACCACCCCCGCCAGGGACCCAGCAGAGCCCAGGGACCCAGATCCCACCAGGCAGCCACCGGGATTTATCAGGCAGACACCAAAAATCTTAAACCCCCTGACCCGAGAGCCACGAACACTCAGGCAGACCAACGTGCCACACTCCACACCAAGTGTGGCAGGGGGAGGGGGGACGAAGATGTATAGCATCAAAAGAAGTCGCAGGAGAGGACTAAAGTTAAGTCAAGAATGGGGTTTCTATACCACAACAGGTCATCCTTTACTCATTCTTTAAAGCAAACCTTGGTCAAAATAACAATCCTTCCCATCTTAGATAATGATGACATCATTTATAGGACTGCTTCAAAAAACTTCTTCATAAACTCTATGTCATTTATCACTCAGCAATCCATTTTGTCGTTGGTGCCTCTTTCACTACTCATTGTGATTTGTACTCACTCGTTAACTGGCCATCACTCCATTCCTGCAGGTTGTTACATTGGTATCAGTTTACATACAAAACAATCATCGGTTGAACCCTATCATATCTTCACTCATTACTCATCACTTACAACAACCAGCACATTATTATTTTGTGAAATGAGCTTGTGGATGCTGACGAGCTCCCCTTTTTCCCAGATGGGTTGATTCTTTTTGGTTTCGTTAGATTACAATCTTCTGCAACTGCTCTTCTACAGCAAGTGTCTCCTGTTACTTTTTGGTGATGTGGACAGGGGGGCTGCCAGAGATTTTGGACCCCATGAAAAAATATCAAGTTGGGCCCCCTGGGGGCTCGTCCATAGCTGGAGCTGGGGTTCCACCCTCCCAGATGTGAAGGGAGAAAAAAAATATATATATATACTTTGTATTAGTGTTTTAGTTTTGCTTGATTATGTAGGTCTACATGCATTCTTACTTATTTACATATCATTTTCACCAGCTGTCTCTCATTAAACAGTGAATTTCCTTCAACAAAATTAGCAATATCACTGCTGGAAAAAACAGGAAATGCACATGCTGAAAGGTGTTAATCTCCTTTTCCCTATTACTCCCTTGAAATGTGTGTATTTATTCTAAGATTTTATTTGATGACAAAATTCAAATTTGGATATCTAATTAAATTTCCATGTTGAGTCAAAGCTTTACATAACTACATTTTCAGCTGTCTTTCCTCTTGAAATCAAGTATTTCTGTATGACTGACAAAAATTAAGGATTCACTGCTCACAAAGTGACTTCTTTATTAAGTCTCCATGGCTTCATCATAGACACAAAATGAATAAGCACACAGTTCAAACCGGAGTCAGTTAGGGTTACATAAAATTTTAAAGTTGGACAACTTTGCATGAATACGTATATAAGTCTCTAGAAACCCATTTTTCTCAACAACAAAAAACAGCTAAAAATATAATCAGCCTTGATTGTACACAGCAAGATTTATTATTTATAGTGATATAATTAATAATGCTCGATAACGATCAATACTAGATTTCATATTTTATTGTGTTCAATGTTATATTAAGTTTTTTTATTTCAATTATTAATAGCTTTTGTTTCATTTTTGCTCTCTGATGAATTATTTGGAAATTACTGATTTTTGGTTTGTGTACTAAAAGCTACATAAACAAATTACATCTTGTAAAACCTCCCAGTGGTTGAATTTAACCACTCACTAACAAAACCCACCTTTCTTTGAGAAAAACTGTGTGACATACTGACGCCCTCTCTTCTGCCTGTCCTCTTTCTCCTTTCTTTCTTTCCTTTTCTGTGACCCAGACTTTGTTTTTGCAGACATATTTTTACTGCAGCATTGACACACTCTGCTGTCTGAGTGCTGCATGAGCTAGCCTTGCCTGCTACGTTGTTCTGTTTTATTAAGCTTAGTTGTTTTTGAATCTTAGCCAATCGGAGTGGACAGATTAACTAAACATCACAGAACTCTGCCTCGCAACAGCACGGAAGTTCTGATTGGATGAATGCAATGTGTCATGTGTTTGTCTAATGTGAATCAGGATGTCTAACTCAGTTAGTCCTATTATCATTAAAACACATAAATCATAACATATTGATTTCACAGATCAGTCACCTGATTATTATTGACTAACAGTTGTTTTGATTAGCTTTATTAGAAATAAAGTTCTTTGATTAAATAATGAAAAGAGTTCTTCGTCCTTCTTCTGTCTTCTTTGCTGGAATGTAAACATCAGAAGCAAGCACACGACCTTGGCAATTTATGCACACTGTCACTGTGTCAAAGGGAAGCTGTTAAGGGCAGAAAATAGCATGTTCATAACGCTACATCAGAGTAAGTCGGTGTCAAGTCGGACACAAATCTAACCGGCATGCACTGCTCGCTGATCACCGGTGATCGAATCTGCGCAGAACTGGCTCATCTCGAACACAGCCATTTTAACACTAGTCAGAAGTCAGGAACCGCCCCCTCCTCAGTGGCGGCTGGTGAAAAATATTTTTGGTGGGGCTGTGCTATTTTTTTTAAACAAACTTGTGCTTTCTGAGCTTTGTGCACAACTTCATTATTTCCTGAATTAAGCACAGCTCTTTTATTTCCTGTCTTACATCATTGGACAAACTGATTAATCCAGGTGTGTGACTATTGGCACGCTGCCTTGCGGACCAAGGTTGAAAAATACTGCATTAAATTGCACATAAAATAACATGACCATATATGGTAAATAGGCAATGCAAGAGGCAAGTAACAAAAACATTTTGTCTAATTTCAACATTTGAGTGAACACGAAAAATTATGAGCAGGTCACTGTTACAGTAATGGTAGTAAACACTACTTAGACAAAATGCCAGAAATTTACACTGTTAGGACTTATGGAAAGTGGAAACACTTTCATAGGAAATAATGTCATCAGTATCCTCTTACAAATGTCATATTTCCCACTTTTTGGGACAATAAAACATTTCTGGTTCTCAATGAGATGTTTTTACTTCAAATGTAAAAACATCTCATTGAGAATCAGAAATGTTTTATTGTCCCAAAAGCTGGGAAATTTGTTTGCTGCAGCAGATGTGTAACAAGTAAAATGGAATCAGATTGATGTATGTACAAATTTACATGAAATACACATTTACATGATTAAATATGTATAATAGGTATGTGTGTTGAAATTAGTTTTTACAGTTATTGCACATTAAACAATGTACATGTTATTAAACAAATGTCCCGGTTTGTGGGACAACCAAGGATTTCTGATTCTGATTGTCTTGTTTACAGAAATGTAATGTACAGCTTAACTCTGCACCCAGCTGCTGTTCTCCCTGTCCAAACGTCCGTTTCTTTGTTGGCTGCTGCACTGCTGCATTCCTCGGTCAGAGAATGAATGGAGTCCCCAATGAGACTCAAGTTCCACATCCACCTTCTGTGGATCCCAGCCGTTTTGAATAACAAACACAGAAAGCAAAATAACGCATTAGCGTGATTGTATCCAGCTAGCTACTGCTTCCTGGTGTACCAATTTTGGGAGAAGCGTCTTGTGTACAGTTTACCCTTCTCCTTCTCCTGCTGGCTTATCTTTACGTCGGGCTGATCTGGTCCAAGCTCTTTGACATTAAGTTTTTCCACCATAGTTCTCCTCTCGAACGGATACTGGAGAAGAGACCAAACTGAATTCAGTGGCTGCTGAGATCCGGTATCCATGTTGTAGGCGCACTGGCGTCCATGTCTACGTCTGCGTCACGACCGTCACGAGTCACGACCAAAAACGTGCTGGAGTCGAGACTCTCCGAGTTCTACCGAACACCAACGAAAGCCTTGGCGGTAGCTCTATCGCCCATCATGCTTCTGAAACGTTCTGAAACAACGTCGACGCTGATTGGATACATTCCCATTCCTACCCTTTGATTTTCTTGTCAGCAATTGGACAACTGGTCCCGTCTTGTTTGGGCGATTGAAAAACAGCACACAACCTCCACCGCTCGGCAGAGACCGGCAGAGACCAATATATATATATATATATATATATATATATATATATATATATATATATATATATATATATATAATTTATTTTTGTTGCAAAACACACAATTAACTTAGAATATGTGATTATTGTTAATTTTATTTATTTATTTTTTAAAATAAAAATTAAAAACACAGGGGAAACTGGGAGGGTGGCGCCCTATCGCCCTCTACTAGCCAGCCGCCACTGCCCCTCCTCCTCCGCTGCTCTCTCATTGGCTGAGAGTTTTCAATTGTCTTCTGCCTAAAAGGAAATATGCACCCACACATATGATACATCAATTCAACCTGCTTGATCCCAAGAGTCTTGTATTAACTTGATATTGTGTTCTGCGTTACCATGGCAACATGCTTAGCAACAACATTTTAGACACAACTGTATCAACATACTTTAAAGAGCAAGTCACCCCCAAATAAACTTCTTTTTGCTGATAAACTAAATAAACGAGTGTCTAATCGTGCTGCAGACAAGTGTCATCAATAATTTGGCATTTCAGTGCATCTTAGTTAAAATTTAAATATTCTGCCTAAAACTGGCAGTGTTGTGCCGTTGTCAGGTAAAAACTCTGCACTGTATTTTAATTTAAATCTGCCACCACTATTGGCTAAGAAGTATGCTACGATGTAAACTGGTACATTATGATGTCACAATGCTGTCGTGAGCCTGAGTGTGTGTGTATTTGTTAGCGTCTCCGCCCTCTCGGTCTGCCAGGCAACAGCATGTGTTGCATTTTTCTAACATGAAGTGGGAGTGGAGTTAGACTCTGGTAGGGGTTGACTTGCTCTTTAATATAAAAATGTTATTCAAAGTTTAAAAGAGTCATGTAACATTGTACATTGCTTTATTAAAGCAGACTCCTGTCATCTGTTACCATGGCAACACAAGGAACTACAAATCACTTTAAAGAGCAAGTCACCCCTACAAGAAACTTACTTCACTCCCTCTTCATGTTTAAAAAATGCAACAAATGCTGTTGCCTAGCAGACCGAGAGGGCAGAGCCGCTAACAAATACACACACATACAGGCTCACAACGGCATTGTGACATCATAATGTACCAGTTTACATCATAGCCAACAGCTGTGGCAGATTTAAATTCAAATGCAGTGCAGAGTTTTTACCTGACAACGGCACAACATTGACAGTTTTAGGCAGAATATTTCAGTTTTAACTAAGATGCACTGAAGTACCAAATTATTGACTACACGTGTCTGCAGCCCAATTAGACACACATTTATATAGTTTATCAGCAAAAAAAAAAGTTGATTTGGGGGTGACTTGCTCTTTAACCAAGTCTCATAGGAATGAATATAAAAAGCTGAATATTGAGCCAATAACAGACTCCTGTTTTTGATCTTTTTGAACTATCTGTACTTAAAACTAAAACAAGTTAAATAGAGGAAAATGATTCTACGTTAATCCTATGTTCATTGTCAATGCTTGTTTTTGTTTAGTAGTTACATGTTTTGCTCACAAGAGGGCAGTGTTATGCCAGAAGCAATGGGAAAGGTCACCTTGTCTCCAGGTGGAGAGATCTGATTAGTGTCAACCCGACAGCTGGTTCCTTTGTTTTTGCCTCAGTTTGTTTGCTCAGTGTTTGGCAACCACAGAGATGTTTCTGGTATGTATCTTTAATTATTAAATAAGAATATTTATTATAAAAGAAATGTAAGACAGCCACAAAGACGAAACACTCAGACAAGAGGAGAACCATTCCAGAGCAGATCCTGGTAGGCCTACCCAGTCTCTCAGCCTCTCCAGTAGCAGGTGATGGTCAAGAGTCAAAGGCAGGACCAGAACCGAACAATCCCCTGCATCACTGTGAGTCAGAAGGTCATTAGAGACCCTAAAAAGAGCCATTTCAGTGGAATCAGCTCTATAAATCACACCACAGAACAACATTTTTATTTTCATTACAATTGAGGTACAACTTATGTGCGATTCAGGGCGTAAGGCATAGTGGGTTAGAGCCTTTATAGCCCGTTCTTCTATGTTGATTTGTTTTCCACTCAGGGGACCCATGAGCTGATGAGAAGGGGAGGAAACTTAGGCTGGGAATATATTATCCCAGTTTTAGTAGGATAGCACTTCGCTAAATGATTCATTTTAAAAACTTCTTAATTATAAGGTATTAGAAAAACCTCTAATCTCAGAATTTGTAAGCTACAAATAAAATCACATTATTATGGTTCAGCTTTGGATGTAGATCTGAACGTACCATTTTTAAAAAGCTTCGAGTAATCTAAAATGTTATATTTTTATTGTTTTATTGATTACCACTTATTATGGTGATTTTACTACTACACCATGTCTTGTAATGTCTAGGACTTTAGTCTCCCAGTTGGGTGTAGGAAAGTGCTGTAAAATGTAAATTGAACTCAATTGAATTGAGTCTTGGAGGTGACTATTCCAAACATTTCCTCATACCAAAATAATTACAGGCTTTTAGAGTTGGTAGCACAAACAAAGAAAGGGAGTGTTCTAGAAGCATGTCAGCCTTATAACTCTATTGGACGTAAGCATTCTCAGTCTTTGTGTAGAGTCGCTCACCATGTTGCTCTCAGTGCTGCTGCTGCTGCTGCTGCTGGTGGTGGTTCTGGTCAGCAGGACTCAAGCTGGTTTGAATGGTTTTGTCTTCACCTACACTGCTCAGGGCCCTCTGGGAAATGGATTCTATGTAAGTAGGTTTTCTAGTTTGTGTTTGCCTTTTAAATGTCAGTTCTCAACATTCCTTTGCTTTTTAAACTACAGACAATCGAAAAGCAGAAGTGGAGCTTTAGTTCATGTGAGGAAGTTGATTCCATGGTTTGCGGCAACAGCTGTGATTCCCTGGGATCCCTTTACGGGAAGGTGGAGGAAAGCAGCGGAGAATGGTGCCAGAAAGAGAGAGTCACCTATGGACAGGATGACTATGCCCTCGCCAAACTGTACAGGTGAGTTCACATCAACGTTACGCAGCTTTTTAGTTGTAGCTGCAGAGTGATCAACACACGGACTGTACAGCTGCATTAAATCAACTACAATTCAGCATTTTCTGTATTTTATTTTATTTTTGTTGTTATTATTACTTTAAAATGATCATCTTGTTGGGCTACAGAGATCCAGACACACATGCCGCCATGCACGAGACTCTGAGAAGCATCTGAAACCTTTATTGACTTTCACTACAGTTGGTCTAATAGAAGCTGGACTGACAACAGAAACGGCGTCGTAGCGTTCAGAGCCCAGGCTCTGATAGACCCGAGGAAGCGATCTGACACTGGAAACGTCAACTCCTCACCCCAGACCACCATCATCCCAGTTGTCAGGTAAGATCTGCATTCTTTTACGTCAGATTTGAAAATATAATTTGCACAGATTTTGTGTTTATTTAAAGTTAAATGGATCTGTTTCACTTTATTCATCATTAGAGATAAAGATAAATGACCTACATTTGTATAGCTTTGTTCTGAATCAGAGGACTCCAAAGTGCCTTACAGTACAATCATTCACACACACATTCCCACACTGGTGGTGATGAGCTATATCGTAGCCCCGGCTGCCCTGGGGCGCACTGACAGACACAAGGCTGCCGAGAATCATCACTAAGTTTTCATTGACATTAGGGAGTTTGGAAGATGTTTAAAAACGTCGGTTGTAGGTGAGGAGCACTAAGGTTTCACAGTAGAAACAGAAAAAGTTGGAAGAAAGAATTCGTGAGTCAGAGTATTCTCTTTGAATAATAGAGATAATAATTTAATAGAGCAATCACACACCTAAATTTACCATAAGTCATTCCCAGAATCAACAATGAGTGACAAAGAACCAAAGAATTCCAGTAATTTAGTAGAGCCAGTTGGTCAAGCTGGAAATTTCATCTGAGTTGAAAGCATATAAACAGCTGAGCTCCATCCTCTTTCATTCAGAGTTCCTTCAAACTGTCAGAGTGACATCAGCTTATTGAATTTCGACCCTGATGGAGACGAGGTTAAATGCAGATATGCAAATGGTTCTCTGTCAGAGTGTGATGCTTGCACACCTCCGTCTGTCCTTAGCCTCTCGTCGGTGAGTAACAAACATCAGTGATGGCTGTGGAGCTAGACTGGGTGACTCACTGACTTTTCTCTTTCCTGGTTTAGTCTTGTATTCTGTCATTCAGCCCGACTTCCAGCAGTGATGAAGGTTCCTACGCCGTCCAGATGATGATGGAGGACTCTCCTAGAAAGACGATTACCCTGACCAACCCTGATGGCTCCCAGGCAGACAAAACTACCAGTGACATAATCAACAGCATACCTGTTCAGTTTGTTTTGAAAGGTGCCTTGGGTGCTGAAATTTGAAATATAATTGTCTGCGTCTGGAATCTAAAAAGCGTCTGTCTAATGAGAGAGTTTATGTGCTAATCTTAATCCTTTGTAGATTATCTTTACAAATTATCATCAAATCACTTCTGACCATACAATTCCAAATGGAGCATCAGGATTAGAGCCTTCATCGGAAGTTTGCCGTTACCATTTACATGTAGTAGAGGATCAACAGGTGGCAAGGGCTAGTACTGCTAGTACTGCTACTACTACTACTTCTACTACTACTACTACGTCTACGTCTACTACTACTAGTAGTACTACTGCTACTACTACTGGTGCTATTACCGCTCCTGCTACTTCTACTGCTGTTTTCTACACTACAACCACTACCACTGCTGCTGCTACTACTACTACTACTACTTCAACAACAACAACTACTACTACGACTGCTGCTGCTACTGCTGCTACTAATGATGATGATACTACTACTACTGCTACTGCTGATGATCATGATACTACTACTACTGATGATGATGATGATAATACTACTACTACTCCTGCTGATGATAATACTATTACTACTGCTGCTGCTGATGATGATGATACTACTACTGCTTCTGCTGATGACAATACTACTACTACTGCTGCTGACGATGATACTACTACTACTGATGATGATGATACTACTACTACTGCTGATGATACTACTACAACTACTACTGCTGCTACTACTGCTGCTGCTGCTGATGATGATGATACTACTACTACTGCTGATGATGATGACACTACTACTACTACTACTACTGCTGATGATGATAATACTACTAGTACTGCTGCTGATGAGAATGATACTACTACTGCTGATGATGATGATGAGAATGATACTACTACTACTGCTGCTGCTGATGGTGATACTACTTCTACTGCTGATGATGATACTACTACTACTGCTGATGATGATAAAAATACTGTTACTACTACTGCTGCTGCTGATGATAATATTACTACTACTACTGATGATGATGATACTACTACTACTACTACTACTACTACTACTACTACTACTACTGATGATGATACTACTACTACTACTACTGCTGATGAAAATGATGATGATACTACTACTACTGATGATGATGATACTACTACTGATGATGATGATACTACTACTGATGATGATAATATTAGTACTACTGCTGATTATGATAATATTACTACTACTACTGCTAATGATGATGATGATGATAATACTACTACTGCTGCTGATGTTACTACTACTACCGCTGATGATGATACTACTACTACTACTGATGATGATGATACTACTAGTACTACTACTACCACTACTGATGATGATGATACTACTGCTGCTTCTGATGATGCTACTACTACTGATGATGACGATGATAATATTACTACTACTGCTGATGATGATGATACTACTACTGCTGATGATGATGATGATATTACCACTACTACTGATGAGGATGATGATACTACTACTACTAATGATGATGATACTACTACTATTACTACTGATGATGATACTACTACTGCTGCTAATGATGATACTACTACTACTGCTGCTGATGATGATGATAATACTACTACTGCTGCTGCTACTGCTGATCATGATACTACTACTACTACTGATGTTGATGATGATGATAATACTACTACTACTGATGATACTACTACTACTACTACTGATGATGATGATACTTCTACTGCTGCTGATGATACTACTACTACTACTTCAACAACAACTACTACTACTACGACTGCTGCTGCTACTGCTGCTACTAATGATGATGATACTACTACTACTGCTACTGCTGATGATCATGATACTACTACTACTGATGATGATGATAATACTACTACTACTCCTGCTGATGATAATACTATTACTACTGCTGATGATGATGATGATGATACTACTACTGCTTCTGCTGATGACAATACTACTACTACTGCTGCTGACGATGATACTACTACTACTGATGATGATGATACTACTACTACTGCTGATGATACTACTACAACTACTACTGCTGCTACTACTGCTGCTGCTGCTGATGATGATGATACTACTACTACTGCTGCTGATGATGATGACACTACTACTACTACTACTGCTGATGATGATAATACTACTAGTACTGCTGCTGATGAGAATGATACTACTACTGCTGCTGCTGCTGATGGTGATACTACTTCTACTGCTGATGATGATACTACTACTACTGCTGATGATGATAAAAATACTGCTACTACTACTGCTGATGATGATGATACTACTACTGCTGCTGCTGATGATAATATTACTACTACTACTGATGATGATGATACTACTACTACTACTACTACTACTGACGATGATACTACTACTACTACTACTGCTGATGAAAATGATGATGATACTACTACTACTGATGATGATACTACTACTACTGATGATGATGATACTACTACTGATGATGATGATGATACTACTACTGATGATGATGATAATATTAGTACTACTGCTGATTATGATAATATTACTACTACTACTGCTAATGATGATGATGATGATGATACTACTACCGCTGCTGATGTTACTACTACTACCGCTGATGATGATACTACTACTACTACTGATGATGATGATACTACTACTACTAGAACTACTACTACCACTACTGATGATGATGATACTACTGCTGCTTCTGATGATGCTACTACCACTGATGATGATGATGCTACTACTACTACTGCTGATGATGATGATACTACTACTGCTGATGATGATGATAATATTACCACTACTACTGATGAGGATGATGATACTACTACTACTAATGATGATGATACTACTACTATTACTACTGATGATGATACTACTACTGCTGCTAATGATGATACTACTACTACTGCTGCTGATGATGATGATGATAATACTACTACTACTGCTGCTACTGCTGATCATGATACTACTACTACTACTGATGTTGATGATGATGATAATACTACTACTACTGATGATGATGATACTACTACTACTACTGATGATGATACTTCTACTGCTGATGATGATGATACTACTACTACTACTGCTGCTGCTGCTGCTGATGATGATGATACTACTACTACTACTGCTTCTGATGATCATGATACTACTACTAGTACTGATGTTGATGATGATGATACTACTACTACTGCTGCTGCTGCTGATGATCATGATACTACAACTACTACTTATGATGATAATACTTCTACTACTGCTGATGATGATGATACTACTACTACTGATGATGATGATACTACTACTACTGCTGATGATGATACTACTACTGCTTCTGCTGATGACGATACTACTACTACTGCTGCTGACGATGATACTACTACTACTGCTGCTGATACTACTGATGATGATGATTCTACTACTACTGCTGATGATACTACTACAACTACTGCTGCTGCTGCTGCTACTACTGCTGCTGCTGATGATGATACTACTACTACTACTGCTGCTGCTGCTGATGATGATGATGACACTACTACTACTACTGATGATGATGACACTACTACTACTACTGATGATGATGATGAGAATGATACTACTACTGCTGCTGACGATGATACTACTACTACTACTGCTGCTGACGATGATACTACTACTACTGCTGCTGCTACTGCTGCTACTACTGCTGCTGATGATGATGATCCTACTACTACTAATTCTGCTGCTGCTGCTGCTGATGATGATGATGATGATACTACTAATACTACTGATGATGATGATACTACTAATACTACTGATGATGATGATACTACTAACACTACTGCTGATGATGATAATACTACTACTACTGCTGCTGATGAGAATGATACTACTACTGCTGCTGCTGATGAGAATGATACTACTACTGCTGCTGCTGATGATGATGATGATACTACTTCTACTGCTGCTGATGATGATACTACTACTACTGCTGCTGCTGATGATGATGATGATAATACTACTACTGCTGCTGCTGATGAGAATGATACTACTACTGCTGATGATGATGACGATGATACTACTTCTACTGCTGCTGATGATGATACTACTACTACTGATGATGATGATGATACTACTACTACTGCTGCTGCTGCTGATGATGATGATACTACTACTGCTGCTGCTGATGATGATATTACTACTACTACTATTGATGATGATACTACTATTACTACTACTACTACTGCTGCTGCTGATGATGATGATGATGATGATGATGATTATACTACTACTACTGCTGATGATGATGATACTACTACTACTGCTGATGATGCTACTACTACTACTGATGATGATGATGATAATATTACTACTACTACTGCTGATGATGATGATGATACTACTCCTGCTGCTGCTGATGATGATGATACTACTACTACCGCTGATGATGATGATACTACTACTGATGATGATACTACTACTACTACTACTGCTGATGACAATACTACTACTACTGCTGCTGACGATGATACTACTACTACTGCTGACGATGATACTACTACTACTGCTGCTGACGATGATACTGCTACTACTGCTGCTGCTGCTGCTGCTGATGATGATGATGATGATGATACTACAACAACTGCTGATGATACTACTACTACTACTGCTGCTGCTGATGATGATACTACCGCTACAGCTGATGATGATAATACTACTACTGCTGATAAGAATGATACTACTACTGCTGATGATGAGAATGATACTACTACTGCTGATGATGAGAATGATACTACTGCTGCTGCTGATGATGATGATACTACTACTACTGATGATGATGATGATAATATTACTACTACTACTACTGCTGATGCTGCTGATGATACTACTACTACTACTGATGATGATACTACTACTACTACTACTGATGATGACGATACTACTACTACTGCTGCTGACGATGATACTACTACTACTGCTGACGATGATACTACTACTACTGCTGCTGACGATGATACTACTACTACTACTGCTGCTGCTGCTGATACTACTACTGCTGCTGCTGCTGCTGATGATGATGATGATACTACTACAACTGCTGATGATACTACTGCTACTACTGCTGCTGCTACTACTGCTGCTGATGATGATGATACTACCACTACAGATGATGATGATAATACTACTACTACTGCTGCTGATGAGAATGATACTACTACTGCTGATGATGAGAATGATACTCCTACTGCTGCTGCTGCTGCTGATGATGATGATACTACTTCTACTGCTGCTGCTGATGATACTACTTCTACTGCTGATGATGATGATACTACTACTACTGCTGATGATGATAATAATAATACTACTACTGATGATAATGATGATGATGATGATGATACTACTACTACTGCTGCTGCTTCTGCTGATGATGATGATAATATTTCTACTACTACTATTGATGATGATATTACTATTACTACTACTACTACTACTGCTGCTGCTGCTGCTGCTGCTGATGATGATGATGCTGATGCTGATGATGATGATACTACTACTACTGATGATGATGATGATACTACTACTACTACTACTACTACTGATGATGATGATACTACTACTACTGCTGATGATGATGATAATATTAATACTACTACTGCTGCTGCTGATTATGATACTACTACTACTACTACTACTACTACTGATGATGATGCTACTACTACTGCTGATGATGATACTACTAGTACTGCTGCTGATGATGATGATACTACTACTAAAACTACTACTGATGATGATGATGACACTACTAGTACTACTACTACTACTACTACTATTGTTGCTGCTGATGATGATGATGATACTACTACTACTGCTGCTGATGATACTACTACTACTACTACTGCTGAGATGATGATGCTACTACTACTACTACTACTGCTGCTGCTGCTGCTGCTGCTGTTACCACTACTTCAACTACTGCTACTGTCACTGCTACTACTGATGTTACTGCTGTAGTTACTACTACTACTGTGACTATGTCTACGACTACTACGCCTTCTACTACTACTAGTAGTACTACTGCTTTTACTTCTACTTGTATTACTACTGCGACTACTACTGCTGCTACTATTTCTATATGTAGAAATAGTGTATATATATAGAAATATTTCTTTATTATTTATATAGAAATATTTCTTTATTATTTATATAGAAATATTTATGTTGAAATATGTTAATTTCCACCTAATGTAAAAGTAGTCATCCATATAAACATTGAAATTCAGACTGATTTGAGTTGATTGATTTGTTCACATGTTCACATCATCATGTTTGAGTTTTTACTTTCCTGTGTTTTTCCAGTTGATGCTGCAGTACCGTCCTGCTCTGAAGGTCTCTATCTACCCAGATTCCTGCCTCCAACTCCAGAAAACGGAGCACAGATCATCGCTGCCGTTAATCAGACTTTGGAAATCGCCATCAGAGCAGAAGCAACTCAGTCCGTGTAAGAGGAAGTAAAACTCATTTCAGGGAAAGCTGACAGTGATTTATTCCAAACCAGTTTATCGTAATTAAATGTCAGCTGAAAGAATGTCTGCAGCTGTCAGTGAATCGTTAGATAAAGATTTGATGAAAGACAACAGCTGAAGTCAGATTAAACTGGAATGTGATCAATTTGGCATTTCTCGTTGAAGGATCACTGAGCTGCTGTTCAGTGGGCCTTGTGATGTGGTAAAAAATACATCGGGATCAGGAAATTTCACACTGAGTTGGACGCCTAATGACCTTGATGGAGGACAAAGCCACCCCATCTGTTTTATCATACAGGCAAAGTGAGTTTATTTTATTTTTTCTCACCCTTTATCAAAATGTAGAGATATTAACTGGAAGTGCTGAGAGAAAAAATAAAGATGTTATATGTAAATTTACATTGACTGGTTATGCTAATGCTGTCCTGTACTTTTGGTACATTTCTTTGGATTGTGATAGAACAGTATGTTGTTCTTTTCTGAAGGCACTTAAGCTCCCTATCAGTTTGTGAACAGGTTTTGTGTTTTGGTTTGAGTTTTGTTAGGTCAGTGAATGCACCACAGCAGCTAGAATGTGTTCATTTTTTTAGTTCCTGTTGTCTCAGCTATCGCTGCTCGTCGCATGAACACTGATAAACGCCGTGTGTGCCAGAGCCGGAGACTAAACGCAACAGGATGCTTCATAATACTTTGAATAAGCAGTCATTGTAACTTATCAGAAAACACAACAAACACAAAAGGTAAATGTGTCTCGATTAAAGGAATAAATATATGGAATAGTTTAGATAAGAAGATAAAAGATTCTATATCCTTAAATACATTCAAAAAGAAGTTCAAAGCTAATAATTATGTAGCCATGTAGCCATTTAACAAAACTGTATGTAACCTATTTTGTGTTCTTTAGCTTGTCTTTGCTTTCTTTTACTAGCTCTTCTTACTTGTTGAGGGCAAGTCGCATTATGTTGTAATTTGGGTTTTGGCCATAGATATTTGGCCATTTTCACTTCTGCCAAAACCTTTCAGTCATTGACTTTTAAAGAGGAATTAAATTCCATTCTTTCCTTTTTTCTTTTTCTCACTGTGATCGCTATGTTACTTTCCTCTTGTCATTATACCTGCCCAAGCTAGATGTGACCTGTTGTGTGATTGAATAAAGTAATCTACACATACGGAAACATATCTAGGACTCTTCCTGATAAAGTAAATGTACTCAGACGTAGTAAATCCATATCCAGAATTATTTCTACCTGAACTAAGAAGAACAAGAGCAAACAAACACAAAAAAAAGAAAAATCATGGTTTCTTGAACAAAACCTTGAACACACCAGCCGCGAAGCGCCACATAGCGGATCGCTGACAAATTTTGCGCGCTGACCGCAACTCCTCTGTTCATATCAGGCGAGATTTTTCGACGAGCGCTTCTGTTCACGCCTACTGTTTTCCAAATCCCCCCACCTGTGTGTGTGTGTGTGTGTGTGTGTGTGTGTGTGTGTGTGTGTGTGTGTGTGTGTGTGTGTGTGTGTGTGTGTGTGTGTGTTTGTGTGCAACCAGTTTGCCCTGCTTGTTATCAGAAACTGGTTGGTTCGCTGGACTTTTTTTTTTGACAGTGGTAATTTCTGCTTCAGCCCTCTCCCCCTCCCCCTGCGCAGCGGCCGCAAACTCACTGGTGTGCCTGCAGCCTCTCAGAGTTCCTGCTGCTCTAAACATTAAAATAATTATTTCATTTTCTGCTCCTCACTTCTGATTACCTTCAATCAGAGGTGGACTGGCCTATCTGGCAATCTGGCACTGTCCCGGTGGGCCGCTTAGCCAAGTGGGCTGCTTGCCCAGCTTGGGCCGACACTACTCCACAGTTGGTGATCTGCAGAACATTAGCTACATGGTAACCCGAAGCTAACAGAGTATTTCCAGGCATTTTTAGCAAGAAAAACGTGGTAGAGCAATGACATAGGAGTTGTTTTACCGTGTTAGCATGTAGCTAATGTCCCGCTGATCTCCGCCCGTGGTGAATGAGCTGAAGACCAGCTGTGGAAGACCAGGGCTCCCGGTCGCAGCGGTCTGGCCCTGCTTTTAATTTAACAGTCCCAGTCCATATTACATCTCACATTCAGCCTAGAGACGAGTCCGCGGGTGGCAACACCCCCCACCCCCACCGCTCTCTCAATGGGGAGGGCCGACGATTCGTAAAATGCCAGGGCCGAATTTTGGTCCCAGTCGACTCCTACCTTCAATGGTGTCTGTTTGTTGCAACCACCAGGTACAAAAACTAACTTGTATTTATTTGACTATTTTTCTGTCCTGTATCTGTTTATAATCTTCCTGCATCTCCTCTCAGAAAAACTGCTACCTGGGTTAATATATATTCACCTTATGAGTTACCTTTGAACTGCAGTTCTTAAAGATCTACCGACCACAAAAACAGCGGAGTGCTTGCCGGCCACACCACTGAGGTGCGTCACCGGAGGACAAAACAGGTGATGTGCCCCGCTCTACAGCAGCGAAAAGCATCAGGCACAAATAAAAGACAGAAAACATAAAAGGAAGTGAGCCGACATGAACGATCGCGTGTTAAATTGGTTTTTGAGGTGGCGACACCTAATTTGATAATGTTACTGTGGCGGTGCTCAGGACGCAGATGTCTGGAGCGCGTCAACAATCAGAGCTTTGCATGCGCAAGCTGGTTAAGGTTAGGATGGGCATGAGGGGAAGGTTAAATTGCAAGAGGGTAAAGGTCACAATTTGGTTAAATGTCCGTTTTACGGCGGGTGTCAGTACCGACGCTCTGGCACAGCGCGTTGCCTCCCAATGCGCAGGGGCTCGTCACCTGCTGTCTTGTCCGAGGACTGCATCTTGTCGCTCATTATCACGTGACAGCGACTAGTCGATGACAGGCATAAAAAGTCACTACAGAGCAGTGAGGTCGACTAGTCGACTAGTTCAAACAACCCCTAGTGTGCATGTGTGTGCAACCAGTTTGCCCTGCTTGTTATCAGAAACTGCACTGATCCTGCTGCTGTTTTGTAGACCAGTTCTTAAATGATTATTTAAATAACCCAGTGCTTGTGGTAGTGTACTATATGTATTTGTTCACATTTATGAAATCTATCTTTTGCTATAAAAACTGCATTTAAAATCATGGAAATACTGTGTTCCTCCACAGGGTGTGTGTGTGTGTGTGTGTGTGTGTGTGTGTGTGTGTGTGTGTGTGTGTGTGTGTGTGTGTGTGTGTGTGTGTGTGTGTGTGTGTGTGTGTGTGTGTGTCTTTGTTCATTTTCATCTCTCTAGTCTGTTTAGGTAAACAAAAATGATCACAATTATCAATCAGTGTTTTATTTCTTTATTTTGTTAAAATTACGGCACACCTCTTCTGTTTTGATTTGTTGTCCTGCCAGAACGAAAACTCGCGAATAAATTAGAGCTCACGCTGAAATGATCGCTGCATAGAGCACGCCTACACTGCACTTTGCAGCTGATGTGACCGAGAGCGTATAAGGCTCCAAATAGAACTGCTTGTCGATACATGGTGCTTCGCGGCGTATCGTCGCTCTTCCGCGTCTGGTGTGTTCCGTGCGTTAGCAAGTGAGGTTAGTTTAACTTTTATACTTCTCAAATTTTCACGAGGATCTTCCCATTATAAAATAGAGCCAAGATTTCTTGGCAGTTTATAAATTAGTGGGACATAAATCATGAAATTTTATTGTGAATATTTAAAAATGACTTGCACTTGTAAAGCACCTTTTTGAGTTAATGGACTCCAAGGTGATTTACACTAAGGTGTATCATTCAACCTGGCATAGCATTCATTAGCTGGTGAAGTCCAGACATTAGGCCCACTGATAATCTTCGGAATATGCTAAAGAACTCTGGACGGAGCAGTTTGAAACCACAAGAGTCAACATAAGAGCTCAGTGAAAATTGAAAATATTAATGTTGTAATTTATTCCCACAGCTACTCCAGTTCTGTGTACCAGTCTGCACTTCGATGTGTTGTGGTGACTGCTGAAACCAGTGAGTGGAAAGCTTCCTGGATTTTTATTTCTGTTATAAAATAAAATCATCCTGAACTATTAACGTCACAGATGTCCCGATCTGTTCTGTTCACAGGCGCTCCTGTCACCACAACTCCCCCCAGAGCAGAATATCCTATCGCCACAGCTCCCCCCAGAGCAGAATATCCTATCGCCACAGCTCCCCCCATAGCAGAATATCCTATCGCCACAACTCCCCCCACAACAGACTATCCTACCACCACAACTCCCCAAACAACAGAATATCCTACCACCACAACTCCCCCCACAACAGAATATCCTACCACCACAACTCCCCCCACAACAGACTATCCTACCACCACAGCTCCCCCCACAACAGAATATCCTACCACCACAACTCCCCCCACAACAGAATATCCTACCACCACAACTCCCCCCACAACAGAATATCCTACCACCACAACTCCCCCCACAACAGAATATCCTACCACCACAGCTCCCCCCACAACAGAATATCCTACCACCACAACTCCCCCCACAACAGAATATCCTACCACCACAACTCCCCCCACAACAGACTATCCTACCACCACAGCTCCCCCCACAACAGAATATCCTACCACCACAGCTCCCCCCACAACAGAATATCCTACCACCACAACTCCCCCCACAACAGACTATCCTACCACCACAACTCCCCAAACAACAGAATATCCTACCACCACAGCTCCCCCCACAACAGAATATCCTACCACCACAACTCCCCCCACAACAGAATATCCTACCACCACAGCTCCCCCCACAACAGAATATCCTACCACCACAACTCCCCCCACAACAGAATATCCTACCACCACAACTCCCCCCACAACAGACTATCCTACCACCACAACTCCCCCCACAACAGAATATCCTACCACCACAACTCCCCCCACAACAGAATATCCTACCACCACAACTCCCCCCACAACAGACTATCCTACCAACACAGCTCCCCCCACAACAGAATATCCTACCACCACAACTCTCACCACAAGAACCATAGTCAGTCCTATCATCACAACCCCTCCCACAACAAACATTTTTGGTCCTCCCACCACAAGAACCACAGCCACTACTACACCTACAGTTGCACCAACTACCATTACAACAACTACAACAATGTCTCCAACACCTGCCCCAGGACAAAGTACGTTTAGAACCTAGCTTGAGATTATTTATCCAGTATGCTGATGTTTTCGGTTTGCACCATAACTTTTAAAACCAAAACTATTCTGTTCTGCATTTTGAAGTTGATTTTCTGTGCTTGTAGATTATGTGATCGCTCTGAAAATGAAGATCTCTACTACACTGTCTCTGGACAACCAAAAGGAGACCATCGTTAAACTGGTCAGTAACCTTTTCCCTGTAATAAAAACAAAATGTAAGCAGGTAGAACAAATGAAGCTGTTTTTTGTTTATTTAACATTGTCTTTTGCCACTTGGCTTGGATTGGATCATGGATGCCCAGGGTTGCCCAATACTTGTCCTGGAGGGGTGCTATCCTGTATGTTTGAGTTGTTTGTTATGCTCCATCACAATTCAGTGGCTTGACGGTATATTAAGCAGGTCATCAAACTCCACAGAAGTCTTCTAAAAACTTGATTATTAAAATTAGGTGTGTTGGAGCAAGATATTAACTAAAACATTTTAAATGATAAATAACTCACACTTGTATAGTGCCTTTCAGAGTCAGAGCACTCAAAGCGCTTAACACTACAATGGATCACTCATCCATTCACACGTTGATGGTGATCAGCTACATTGTAGCCACAGCTGCCCTGGGGCACACTGACAGAGGTGAGGCTGCCGAGCACAGGCACCATCAGTCCGTCTGACCACCACCAACAAGCAAGAAGGGTCAAGTGTCTTGCTCAAGGACAAAACAGCAGAATTATGTGTCAGAAGCCAGGATCGAACCTGCAACCTTCCAATTACTGGACGACCCGCTCTACCTCCAGAGCTACTGCCGCCCCCAGCTATTGTTGGATAGTGGGCCTCCAGGGCTAGGATTCAGCCACTCAGGGTAACATAACACCACATTTCAAGCTGAAAGACACTAATAAACACCTAGGAGCTGGCTGTAGATGTATTTAATTTGAACATGGCGACAATGGCAGAGGAGCTAAACTCCCCTCCCATAAATGAAGGGTTGCAGGTTTGCACGCTGCTCAGGGTGTCACAGTACCAGTACCAGTAGTTGTGTCCCTGGTGCTTCTTCCTGACACTCGCGGAGTACAGACACTTCTCTTTTTGCTCCCTTATGTTTTTTCCAAGGCTCTTTGTCTTGTCTGCCCACAGAGCGCTTCTCTGCATTTCTTCTGAAAAACCCTATTTTTAACCATGGATATGATAAATTGGTCATTCAACAAGATTGATAAGATTTTTTCAACAATGAGAGTGGGGGCTCCCACATGCCCACAGGGGACACACCCGGTGGGGTATATGCTGGATTCCTGGAGGGAATGGAAGATCATATGCCTCTCCCAGCTGTCCATTGAGGATGTCGAAGACGTGTGGATATTTGGCCTGATGAGCACTGGATTTCTCCTGATTGGAGTGGGAGGATATCTGGTTTTCTGGAAATTTGGGAAGACGGGAGCAATTGGAGGGCGACCCGCACCCACGGAAAGCACCGTCCATGTGGAGTCTTCACAGACTGGGACGTTACTCGGGGTGAATCGTAAGCTGGACAATGTTCTAGCTGCGATACCGGTATTAGTGAGCAAAATGGATGTCATCTCGGAGAGGGTCACCGGACGGTATGGACAAGTGTAATAGCCAAAATTGGCTTCACTGAAGGACTGGAATGATCAGTTTAAAGACTGAAGGCAGAGAGGAAAATTATCTCAGCCTGACCCAAACAAATTCATGTTATCCGAATCTGACGCCCTAGCAGCCTTGAGAGGCTAGCAACAACAAACCCCCATGAAGGAAGACAGATGCTGTGAAAACCCGACACCCCACCCCCCCCACCCCCCCACCCCCACCCCGTCTTCGGAGTGGTGGACTTCAGCCTGGCGAGGTCATCAACCTGCAGGAGTCAATGTGCTCTGCGCTTCTCCCAAGATCTCCCTCCCACCTGTGGCTACAGTGGCTGAGTGCCGTAGATGGCTGCTCTCGCTAGGGGAAACAGGATCCCAGCCCCCCCCACCCCCCCACCCCCCCCCACCCCCACCCACCTTCCTATTGGAGTCTCATGTTATGTTGTGTTGTCTGAAGTCTGTTGCATATCTGTGAGGTTTTTTTTGCACAGCGAAGCTGCCCTCCTGGTGGGAGGGTAGCTGTGAAGTGCCTTTTTTTCCCTCCTCCTGAATCAATTCCTCATGTTACCCTCTTATCTCTATTATTAAGGTAGCGCGACTCAGGGTTGGGAATGACCACAGTCACCAATTCTTGTCATGTGTCTTGCCCATGTATGTCTGATCTCTGAATTGTGTGTATTGAAACTCAAATTTCCCTCTGGGATTAATAAAGTATCTTTGAAATGTTTTGAAATTGAAATAGGTGTGATTCTTCAAATGCATTCATCAAAACATTTTAATGTGTTTCTTCAACAGATAAGAGATGCACTGATTGGACAGGGATTGCCATCAGACATAAGTCTTCGCCTTGTGAGCAGCAACAGAAGCAGCAGTCCAGTTCAAGTGACAACAGCTGCTTCCCATGGGTTGTCATGAAAATGCATAGGACTCCTAGCCTAGTGAACTAGACCAAATTCTTGCTTTGCAAAGAATGTCTAGGCATGCTCCATTGGAACCTCAGCAGCTCCTACCAGGACTCTGGCTAGCCAATCACAGCTCTCTAGAGGGGTTTCAAACACATAAAGAGCTGTGATTGGTCCATAATGGTGGGCCAATCATAGTGCTTTATCTGCTTAGTGAACAAATCACAGAGCTTTATCCTCTTTGTGGGCCAATCAGGGCACTCTATATGCCTGGTGGGTGGGATGATGCAATAGAGTGAAACAAGAGTATGTCACATTCATTGTCCAGTGGAATGCGGAGATCATTTGAAAGACAACGGTAGAACCCGCCCCACAACCGAGAGCCATCAATGGAGCATGGCCAGACTAAATACTACATTTATTTAGTCTGGCTTGCCAGGCTATAGGACTCCTGCAGGGAAAGGGGTTTCCTGCTGTTTAGATACAGTGTTTGGTCCCAACTGCCAACAAACTACTTTGAACCCTAAACTAAACCCTCACACATGATAAATCACGGTTAGTTCACAAGCCATAAAAACATCATATAAGTTTTAAAAAGTTAGTTGTCCGGATAGCCTGTTATCTTTATGTTGCTGTTATTTTGTACTGGTGTAGTTGGGAGGACCGCGTTATCTGCCGTTTGTTGGTGTCTGATGGAATACATCTGCTGATTGTATATTTGATTATTGTTGGTTCCAGTAAAAATTACAAAAAAAATCCAGTGTGAATGCGCAGCAAAGCCAACAACTACTGTAACTGGTATCCACAAATGTGTTCATTCAGAATAAGAATAAAGATGTTTGTGTCTGGTTGATGATTTGTTTTAACAAAGGTTCCCAGGCAATAAATCTTACATCGTGGGATAACCTCATAAGTCACCTACAGGTGCTGGCCAGTAAATTAGAATATCATCAAAAGGTTGAAAATATTTCAGTAATTCCATTCAAAACGTGAAACTTGTACATTATATTCATGCAATGCACACAGACCAATGTATTTCCAATGTTCATTACATTTAAATTTGATATTCATAAGTGACAACTAATGAAAACTCCAAATTTGGTATCTCAAAAAATTAGAATATTCTGAAAAGGCTGAATATAGAAGACACCTGCTGCCACTCTAATCAGCTGATTTACTCAAAACACCTGCAAAGGCCTTTAAAAGGTCCCTCAGTCTTGTTTTGAAGGCACCACAATCATGGGGAAGACTTCTGACTTAACAGCTGTCCAAAAGACAATCATTGACACCTTGCACAAGGAGGGCAAGACACAAAAGGTGATTGCTAAAGAAGCTGGCTGTTCGCAGAGCTCTGTGTCCAAGCACATTAACAGACAGGCGAAGGGACGGAAAAAATGTGGTAGAAAAAAGTGTACAAGCTCTAGGGATAACCGCACCCTGCAGAGAATTGTGACGACAAACCCATTCAAAAATGTGGGGGAGATCCACAAAGAGTGGACTGCAGCTGGAGTCAGCGCTTCAAGAACCACCACGAGGAGACTCATGAAAGACATGGGATTCAGGTGTCGCATTCCGTGTGTCAAGCCACTCTTGAACAAGAAACAGCGCAAGAAGCGTCTCGCCTGGGCCAAGGACAAAAAGGACTGGACTGATGCTGAGTGGTCCAAAGTTATGTTTTCTGATGAAAGCAAGTTCTGCATTTCCTTTGGAAATCAAGGACCCAGAGTCTGGAGGAAGAGCGGAGAAGCACAGAATCCACGTTGCATGAGGTCCAGTGTAAAGTTTCCACCGTCAGTGATGGTGTGGGGTGCCATGTCATCTGCCGGTGTTGGCCCACTCTGTTTCCTGAGGTCCAGGGTCAATGCAGCCGTCTACCAGGAAGTTTTAGAGCACTTCATGCTTCCTGCTGCTGACCAACTTTATGGGGATGCAGACTTCACCTTTCAACAGGACTTGGCACCTGCACACAGTGCCAAAACCACCAGCACCTGGTTCAAGGACCATGGTATCCCTGTCCTTGATTGGCCAGCAAACTCGCCTGACCTTAACCCCATAGAAAATCTATGGGGTATTGTGAAGCGGAGGATGCAATACGCTAGACCCAACAATGCAGAGGAGCTGAAGACGACTATCAGAGCAACCTGGGCTCTCATAACACCTGAGCAGTGCCACAGACTGATCGAGTCCATGCCACGCCCTATTACTGCAGTTATTGAGGCAAAAGGAGCCCCGACTAAGTATTGAGTGCTATACATGCACATTCTTTTCATGTTCATTCTTTTCAGTTGGCCAACATTAGAGAAACAAACATTTTTTCATTGGCCTTTAGAATATTCTAATTTTCTGAGATACCAGATTTGATGTTTTCTTTGGTTGTCACCTATAAATATCAAATTTAAATGTAATGAACATTGGAAATACATTGGTCTGTGTGCATTGCATGAATATAATGTACAAGTTTCACGTTTTGAATGGAATTACTGAAATATTTTCAACCTTTTGATGATATTCTAATTTACTGGCCAGCACCTGTATGTGGTATAACTGTGCCAAAAATTATTCTGATTATTTTTGTGATTCTATTCACTCTGAGGTCTGACTTTCTTGTTTGTGGCTGAATGTTCCCACAATAGAAAAAAAAATTACACTTTATCTGTTTTACAACAGTAGAAACCTCAGTTGCATCTGGAAGATCCATATGCACATTTAGACAAGACAGCTTTATTTGTAAAGCACATTCCCTACACAACTCAATGTGCTTTACAGCAGCAAAAGCAAACAAGACAAACAATGAACAGTTGCATATACTAAAACTACAAGACTAACATAGTACCAGTGAAACACTGAGAAGGGAACAAAATGTGGTCAGTCAGGAATTACTAAGTGAAAATAACAAAGCTGGAGGGGTCAGGAGACTAAGGTTCAATGAACTACAGAAAAGCATTGTTTTAAAATTGAGAATTTCAATGCTTTGAATGGGCAGGAGGACTAACCTAGAATTTACAATGAACTGCATAAAAAAAGTTACTAATTAGTAGTATTACTAAAACTTGGTGTACCGAGGCAGACCAAAACTACAGCAGTGAAACAGGTCAAATGAACTACAAAAAAACACATTGTACTAAAATTAGAAGACTAACAGAATATAAATTAAGCAGCGAGAAGTGAACTAAGGCAGTGAACCATCCAGCCAGGAATTACTAATTACACGGAACAAAAATATAAACGCACTTTTGTTTTTGCTCCTAATTTTCATGAGCTGAACTCAAACATCTGGAATTATCTCAACATACACAAAACACCCACGACTCGCAAATATTGAAATCTGTCTGCGTGCGTGTTAGTGAGCACTTTTCCTTTACCAAGATAATCCATCCCACCTCACAGGTGTGGCTTATCAAGGGGCTGATTAGACAGCATGTTTAATGTACAGGTGTGCCTCAGACTGCCCACAATAAAAGGTTATAAATGTATTCAAAGACAGCTCAGTTCATTTCCAGTTTCATGCAGAAGAAGCGGAGTGAACGAAAGCCCTTTTGCCCACTTCGATGTGAGCAAACGGAGCACAAAGTGATCATTTTCACACAGGCGGTGAGAAGTTACACCTCTCTGTGAGATTCAAGCATGGCCTTGTACCAATGTCCCAACCTCCAAAAAAGGCCATCCCACTTGAGAATCAGAACAAAAGATTTTCTACTGCAATCAAATTCAGTCAGCATGAGTGATTTAGTTTATCTGGATAGGGTTTTCTTGTGTTTTAACAGTGAAAAGGGAAAAAGAAATCAGAGGAACAAGGCTGTTTTTAAACTAAGGCCACACTTACTCCACTTTGGTGCTTCACTCCAAGCTTTATCGTGTTATAATGGCAACTGAGAAATGTGAGTGGATTTATTTTCTTTATTTCCTGCATTCTTACTTTTTGGTTATTCTATCTGACAACGACTATATGAACCAGGAAGTATAAGATCACCTTCAACCACAACCATACTTAACCCAACAATACAAAAGGAAATGAGATAAGAATTACGCTACTTGTTCCTGTAGCATCCATAATTTCTTTGAAAACTTGAGCAGCCATGATGGCACCAAATCCTTGGCTACAGACAAAACTATTACTACATAGAATCTGCACTAAAATCAGGCGGTAACAAAAACACTTTAGACTGAGTCTTGTCATTTAAACGTGTCTGACCTGCATCATAATGTTGGTTTTCTGTGTCTTTGTATTAGAGCCCTGCACGGGCCTAAACTCTGAGCCCGTGCCCGGCCCGGCCCGAGGGGGTGGAGCCCCAGTCCGACCCGGTCCAAAAAGGTTTTCAGGATTCTCTGGCCCGGCCCGAGCCCGAATTTTTTTTGTAACCAACTAAATGAAAACAAAGTGCGTCAATCCTGACCAATGTGTTAAAAGACGTGCAGGATCCGATCAATTTGTTTTTCCCTCATTTACCGTCACGGAGATAACGGCGCAGTGTGCCTGGCTCTGGTGTTAATCAAGTTAAATTTTATCTCTTTCCAACAATTTTCACAAGAAAACAAAACAGTCAAAAGCAGGGCTTGTGTTGACCGGATAGTTCGCGTATTTGACAGTTTATTTTGACGGAGAAAGAATAGAAAGAATTACTCCGACGCACATTGCAGATGTAGCTAAGAAAGATTCCCATCTGAACATCTGAGCTGCTCAGCGCAGCTGGCTGTCAGCGCGTACATAAGGTGCACAGCGAGCTGAAGATGTGGAGAGGGGCTTGGAGCGCATCGCAGAACCAGAGCGCATGCGGGAAGATTCCTCCCACTGAAGCGAGTGTTTTGCAAACCCTGTCTCTCAGAGAGACTTGTCACTTAGAAAATGTTCCCTGATTATGAAACTTTGGCTGAATAGTGCTTGTTCCTGTCTCCAATGTGGCGACACATCCAGGAGCCGTCTGAGGAGAATCCCAGAATCTCACATCTTCAGCTCAGAAAGCGCCGATATGATTACGCACAAGCGTGACGCGTCAACCCGGTCTCACAGTAAGACCGGGTTGGAACTGTTCAGGTTTACGCAGACAATCTTTACATAGAATTGACTTACAGATATAAAATTAATTCAGTAAAATATAAAGCATTTTATTTAAATATCCATTCATTATTTTACAAGCACAGAGAGCCGCATCAGATGGATGGAAGAGCCGCGGTTGTGACATGTTTTCTCCAGGACCAGAGAGGACGCAAACTCAATACATCTCTTTTATTGTGAGGTAATAATTTCTCCGAGTTTTGTGGTTGCGGGCGGGAGTAGACATGCACGCTGCGGGTGCGGGCAGGAGTGTAACACACACATTGCAGTTGCAGGTGGTAATGGTCAGAAATTCAGCGGAGCGGGCAGGAGCGGGATGAAGAAAACAGTCCTGCGCAGGGCTCTAATGCTGCATTTGTGTTTCAATTTTTTTTAATGAATTTGATTAAAAATAAAAACGCCTGGCCCGGCCCGTGTCCAAGGTAATTACACAGTCGTTGGCCCGAAGCCCAGCCCGAGGGCCGTCGGGCTGGGCCGACCCGAGGGCCTAGGGCTTCAGTGCAGGGCTCTTCTTTGTATTGTGTAATTTTTCTGAGTACAATGTTCTCTGCTACACTGCCTCTGCAACATGTTTACAATACCAACATCAGAAACCTTCTTCTCACTCACTTTAACTATGCAGTTGGATCAACCAGTTCAGCTGATTTTCCAGTAAAGGGCTCAGAGGCAGATGTTCCAGAAATGCACAAAACAAGTTTCAGTGACATTTAAATTGCTTTTGCTATCTGTACCTGCATCAGCATTAGAACACAATGGAACTATGTTCATTTACTACATCATTAGCATATAGGTAAAGGT